AATCATTCTTAAATAACTGATGGAGACTGTTTTTACAAATTCATTGAAGACATTTCTAATAGTGATATTTCTTAATGTCACTGATATGATATGGAGAATTTGATCGGGAATTAGATCAAAGGCACAAATCTAAACATTCTAAACAGAACCTTGATCAAAAACAAGCATTGAAGATTCTTTGGTTATTATTTATTTAATACATAGATAGTATGGACGTATGCGAATTATGGAAACAATCAATAGCAATAATATATTTATAAATTAAAAGATATTTTGGAAAATTAGGAATGACAAAGTTGGTTTGACATTCTTTAAAAATTTGTTGAAATCTGAAAAAGTGGTGTTGAGGGTATAAATCGTAGCAAATCAAATTTGAAACAGAGAATACTTCATTGCAGTAATAAAAATCGGTGAATATGAACGTTAAAAATTTAACCGTGGTATAAATAAGACTTCTGGATAATCAAATCTCCAACTTTGTCAAATAATAGTGATTAATAAAAGAATTAAAAATTGAAGGGCAAATCAATTTAATTTGATCAAATTGAATTTCTAAAATTTGGCATCAGTTATTTACTTTAACACAGTAATAACATTATTAAACAGTGTTTAAAGATGACTAAGCATTATCCTGCAACATCTGCTTGAACGAATGTTAAAATACCTATCCTTAAGTTATTTTTAAAGGGTAGAAATTATTTGAGTCATTATTTGGTGACATCAATGACTCATGCCAAAATTAGACGACCAAACGAATGAATTGAAAGTGAAGAAAATATGAAAGAATACGGCAAATTAACTTACTAATTTTTTGAGTGTAATTATTAATTTGGTCATTTGTGTCAAATTTGAAATATATTGAAATCAATTTCTCTGCACGATTTGTTATTTGTGATTTTTTTCAGTTAAACCAAATAACAATTCTTCCTATTGCATTGAATTGCTTTGTGATATTTTATGGCGAACTGATTTAATCAGCAAAGCTATAGCAAAGAGATGAATTCATTATATTCATAAATTTCAAATTTATAAATTCATAAATTTAAAAAAAAAAGTTCCTAAACAGCCAAATTAATAGCTTTACTCTGAATGATCTTAGTTACAGCTATTTTCGGTAAAAAAAAATTAAAATTTTTTGCATTCTTCGATTTAGCCATTACTTCTGACTTAGTTTCACTTGGTTTTGTTTTGGACTTTAATATCAAATCAAGGAATCATTTCTAAAAAAAAAAAAAAAAAACTCATTTCATATTTAAACTCTAATTGATCTTTGAATATTAATACATATCCATTATCGATCGTTCTATTCTGGAAATCGAATTCTCAATTTCGAGTAATTTATATTTCTTTCCTTTCTATTACTGTGCTGAAATTTTGTGACAATTTTTTTTTTCTTTTTTTGCGAACAGAGCCATCAATTAATAAAATGATCATTCATTCTTAATATTTAATTGTACTATTTCTGATATATTACCCTAAATGTATCAGGAAAGAAATAGAACTAATATGGTTGACATAAGAGACAAAAATTATACCATTACAAAATTAAATGGTAAGATTATTTTATTTTTAGTAGAGATTATAAAATTAAATTATAAGATTACAAAATTAAATAGTAAGCAGTTTTATTTCTTGCTCTACTACGGTATTACTAGTAGTACATTGTTTGCAATCGTTTCCTATCTCAGACGAAACAATCACTTCATATTCCTTCAGAATAAGAGGAATTCCTCGGGAATCCACCGGTATCTCCCAGAAAAGAAACGGAATAATTTAGAAGTGATTGTTTCTTTGATTAACTTGAGAAAAAAAAGAAAAACGCAAACACAAAAAAAAAAACCTTCCAACGACAATCTCTTTCTCCTTCTCTTTCCCTCTCTCTCTTTCTCTCTCCCTCACTCTCTCTCTCTCAAAAAAAAATCTCCCTAGTCACCCGTTTCATCCACATCTTCGTGTATCTTCGATCATATTGCAATAATTGTTTATTCTTTCTTAACAGACAAATAAATTTCTAACAAAGAAAGAGGGAGAGAGAGAGAGAGAGAGAGAGAAAAGAGATACATACATTTGTAGGTTAAGAGAGAGAGAAAGGAGATATGTACATTTGTCTGTTAAGAGAGAGGGAGACAGAGAGGGAAGTTTTATCTAATAAATTGAAGAGAAAGATTTTCTAGAGCTAATCGATAGTGTATTATAGCCTTTTCAAAGCAAATTTTTCAATGATCGATCAGTTTGATAAGTGATAAATTGATAAATGATAAATGATCCTAAGATTAATGTGACGAGAAGAAAAAAGAAAAATTTAAAAATTTTTTCAAAATTAGGGAATAGTACTTATTTGAGCTAATAATAAATGCAATTATAAGTTATAGCTACATTTTAAGTACAATTTTTTACAACACAATATAACTGGCAGAGAAATATTTAGTTTAAATTTGCTTAACATTATCTTAGAATTAAAATACATAAAATATTAAATATTAAATTAAATATAAAATATAAAAATATAAAATATTAATATAAATAAAAATTAAATAATTAAATATAAAATAAAATATTATTAAATTGGGATAAACAAAAAAATAAAAATAAAATAAAAAAATAAAAAAAAAATAAATAATTAAATATAAAAAATAAAATATTAAATAAATTATTGGGATAAACAAAAGTTAGTACAATGATAAATAATTATGATATGGGAAAGTTTCATTCTTTTTACTTTATATGAACTTTAATTCAATTAGCTTTTAATTTTTCATCTTTATATTTATTTTTATATTTAATTTTTGACATACTTATTAGAAGGAATGAAGTGAACAAATAATAACACAAATATATTTCATAAAAGTTTTCCTAAAAATTACTCTTTTTTTTCCCCACAGAGTTAAGTTTTTTTTTTTTTTGTATACAGTTTAATGAAATATTACTGAGTGAATCATAAATTCTGGATATATTTTGTCCAACTTACAATTTAAGTATTAATTTCATATGCTTTTGCATTCTTAATTATTATTAATATTTAACTGAAATTCTTAATAATTATTATTTAACTGAAAAATTCATTATAAAACATTATTTGAAGGACGAATGAAAGTGTTGATGAACTATTGAAGATTTAAAATTCCATTAAATTGGACTTTTCAAATAAACCAATTTAAAATATTCATATTTTACGATATTATAATGTAGATAGTAAAACTAAAAATTTTTTTGAAATTTTATTTTAATTATTTTATTTCAATTTGATTTTTAATTATCATCGATGATCGCATTACATTTCCATTGAATCTTTTCCTTTATTGCATGAAAAACGATGGCTTATTTTCAATATATAGATAGATTAATAAGATTAGATCAATAGATAGATCGATAGATACCTAGATAGATTAAATTGATTAGATCGATAGATAATTATCAATTTCTAAAACATTTACTTTGCTTTCAATGCAACCTTCAATTAAGTTTTATTTTATTATTTTCCCTCCATTAGAACTCTAATATCTTTTTGAAATTATTTGTTAACAATTTGAATAACATTTATTTCATGTAATACAATTATTTATATTTATTTATGATATATTATTTAAATAAATTAAATTCAAATTTGCATCGTTTTACTTGTATAATATTAACAAAATTGTATTTATTCAAAGATATAAAATTGTATTTATGCAAACTAAAAGTAATTATACAAATGTATGCATTCATTCATTTAAATTTAAAATATATAATAAATGTCCCTTTTTCGATATTATTGTGAGAATAGAGCAATTGTTAATTATGAAAACAGGAAATTTTTACTAAAACATATATATGTCCGTTTTAAAATTTAGTCGTATTTACAAAAGTTTTAATAAACATTATATCTTTTTACTCTCCTCTCTCTCTCTCTCTCTCTCTCTCTCTCTCTCGTCCTTTTTCTAATAATATTCCTTTCTTATATTTATTGTTAAGAATATTTTATTACGAAAATTTACGATGTATTTTAATAATCTAAAAGATATGATTTAGTTGCAATTTCTCAATGTTCCATTCATTTGGAAGTAAAATCAACATCATTTAAATATAATCATTTATCATTTATCATCGATAATCACATCCGTTCTAAGCTGATTATTAATTATTATTTGAAAGAATGAAGCATTCTTATTGTTCAACTAATTATTTTTATCAATGACATTCATTGTTATTTATCATCATGGTTCTAATTACTCTATTACTACCTATTTATGCACTAATTTTTCCGTAAGTTTATTAAAATTTTACTTATTTTAAATGAAAATGAATATAAATAAATGTTCTTCTTCTTTTTTGTAATGTATTAATTAAATTTTGTTGTCGAAAAATGAATATTTTTCAATATCGAAAAGTAAGTTTTTTTCAAAATTTAGCATTCATTATTTGATGAAAAAATAATAGCAATAATAATAATTAATAATAAATAATAATGAATAATTAGTGGTTATTTTTAGCAATTGAAAAATTTAATCAAAAATTTGAATTTTCCCAAATTTAAACTTTTCTTTTAGCATTTCATTTCAATTGACAACAGCTACTATATTGGAATGTTTTAAATACTATCCAAATTATTACCTTGGTAAGAATGGAAATTTGGTTGTTATAAATATTTCCAGTATTACTTCCTGTTTGGATCATTGTTTAAAGGTTATTTTTCATATGAAAATAAATTTTTTAAATTTTTTTTTTTTTTGATTAATTTTTAATCTTTTTTCATTTATTATATTTTGCATTGATAAATTAATGCTAAAATGAATGGAATAAAACTTAATAATTTTTTTTTTTGATCTCATTTTTTTCTGGAATATATTTCTTCTTTTAGCTCAAATTAACTGATAGATAATGCATTAACATATTTTTAATTTTTAAAAAATACAAGTTAAAAGGAAAAAAGAATTTTGTTTTTTTCAATTACTTTATGTGAAATACTTTCAATTACTTTACAGTCACAATTACTTTATGAATTTATTTGTCGATCAGCTATGGTAAATAAAATACAAAGAGAATGTATCTTAAGTAAATGGAGTCCAAATTTAACATTTAGCAAATATCATTCGAGAGTTGTATATACTGTTTTTTATCAAAATATTTGCTTACCACCATTGGATCAGGTTATTTCAATTACTAATATTTGTTATTACTTTAAATTAATCATATTTAATTAAATTAACTTAAATTAATTAAATTAATGTTCCCTTTTTTTCAAACACTTTTTCAAATAATTTAAATTTTAAATCTATTATCTGTAATAAATTATCATTGCTTTTATAATAAATAATTTGTGAAAAAAATTATTGCTATTTACTTATTATTAATATAAATCATAAAAAAAAAAAATGAATAATTTTAGGTGCAAAATTTTACAATTGCACCACCACGCACAACATTTTCAATACCAATCACAGATACAAGATTAATTATGGCAAATTCTATCAGTGATAAGATCAAGAATCATAAATCAATGGGTGTTGTCCATGATAGCACTGTTAATGTGGAAAATAAGAAAAAATTATCATTTGAAACGGTACTTCATGCTGCACAACATGTTCCACCACCAAATACTATCAATGGAAACACTCATAGGTTCTACTTTTTATATCTTGTAAATACATTTTTCAAAAATTTTTATTTAAAATTAAATTGACGAAATGATTGTGATAATATCACAAATTTTTAGTGATTAAAATTGACAATACAACTTCTTTTTGATAAAATATTCCTTTTTATTTTACATATCAAAGATGGATTAATAATATGAATATATTTCATCGTACTTAGTGATTAGTGATAAAAGATAAGAAATTGGATTATCTGCTAATTAATAGTTATAAATACAAAAAAAAAAAAAAGTAAAAAATTAAATTTGTTTACTTACTGATAAATGAAATATAATGTATTGATGAAATAAAAGAATTTAATGAGTATTATTCAAAATTTAACTACTCATTTAATATATAAATTAATTATTTATTTTTTGCTTAAGATATGTTAATATTTGAATGAAATAAATTAATAGGTTTATCAAATCTACCCAAACTACTCTATCACCAAATCAAAAAACAACCGCATATTATGTTGATTACGATGAAGAACGAAGCAACAATAATGGCAGTAACAAGGATTGCGATGACAACAAAAAAAATAATAATAATGATAATAATAGTAACAGTAACAACAATAAACATGGTGATAAAATCAATAGTGACAGCAATAATTACGACAGTAATAATGGCGATGATGATGATGATGATGCTGATGCTATTGATGATGATGACGATGATCATAATGATGATTATGATAACAATAATAATAATGATGATGATGGTGATGATGATGATAACATTTATAATAACAATGAATATGAAGATAGTGATATAAGTACTGATTTAATATCAGCAAGTGATAAGCAACCTATTTCTGCTAGCAAAAATGTTGCATATCGTATTGCTGCCAATCTATTAAAACCGATAAGGACGATAAAAAGTGTTGCCATTAAACCGAATCCGGCAACTATCCATCGTGGTTTTCAACATACGGAACCATTAATTCCTGAAATTACTTCTTCTACTACTTTACTTCCTCTAAAAACTATTATCACACCATTTATCAATAATGCTATTACTACTATTGCTATTACTACTCCTTATGCTAGTGATAATATTATTACTACAAGTAACAGTATTGATACTGATAATAGTGATATTACTGATACCGCTACTATTACTACTACTACTACTACTGGTACTACTATTATTGCTACAACAACAACAACAACAATAAAAGTTACTGCTACAACAAAAACTATTACTTCAGCAATGCAATTTATTCCTATTCCAATTGAAATGTTAGTTCGGGAATGGAATACAACTACAAAAGATTCAGAATTATCAATTCAACATCAAAATTACACTCTTAATATTGGAATTTTAGAACAGGAATTGAATAATCGACAAATGATACGAAATGGATTAATTAAAGAACTCAAATGCTTTCATTATTTTGCTAATAAGTTCGTTTATTTTGAAAAAAAAAAATTTTTTTTTTTTTTATTAACAAAATAAATTAGTCTTTTTTTTCTAGTTTTCTTTTTGTTAGTAGCAATATTTGAATTATCTTGTAATTTATAAATGATTAAATGAAATTAGAAAATTATCAAATTTAATCGATTGTAATTTTTTGTGAAATTTTTAGACAACTCAATGGTTATCGACAGGAAATAATCAAACAAATTGGTTTACAAGATTGTTTACATAATTGTATTTTACGCATTTCATTTTTATGTTTGAGTGTTAATTACAATAGGAAAACAAGGGTTAGTTTAAATTATTTTAGATTTTTTTTTTCGAAATTTATTTAAATATTTTAATTAAAATTAATATATGAAATGTAGGAGTGAAAATTGTTCATTTATTTATGTATTAAAAATTAATTGCTTATTAATTCAATAAACACATTTTTTTGTTTGTAAAAAAGAAATGTGATAAAACTTTTTTCTTTTTTTATTATTTATAAAAATAATTTTTCTTTTTTAGCAATGAAATAATTAGTTGCTTTATTTCACTTTTTGCTTTTTTAATTTTTTTCAAATTATTTGTAATGAGTAATTTTTTGATTCAAATCAAAAAGTTATCATTTCATGAGTAATAAGTTATTATTTTAGGAATGCATTTTAAATGCTGATAATCGAATTATCAATAATGTTCAATTAACTTCATCAAAATTAACAGATTATTATGAATATGTTTGTTTGAATGCACGAAAACAAGGATTAAAAGCAAAAAATACGCGTAAAATTTAAATCTTTTTTTTTTTAAAAAAAGTAAAAAATTTGTTTTTTTTTTTTTGTTATTTCTTTTGCTAAATTTATATTTTATGCAAATGAAATGAAACTTAACAAATTGTTTGTTTCAAAAAAATATTTAGAAAAATTTATTTTTTTCACCTTCTTTTTTTTTTGGTTTATCTTAAAATTTATCATATATTACTTTACATTACTTTATTAAAAATTTGAGTATGTTATCGTAGAATTAAAATATTGGTAAGAATTAATTAATGGAAAAAAATATATGCATGTATGAATTTATTACGATATAGTTTCGAGTAAGATAATAAAATATTAAAATGTAGGATTTTCAGAATTTTTTTTTTAAGCTTATTTAAAAATTGAAAAATTAAATTAAATTAATTATGCAATATTACTAGTTTGATTTTTAAAAAAAGAAAAAATTTAACTCTTTTTTTTAATATAAAATATTCAAATTGTTTTAGCAAATAAAATTAACAGAGGAGAAGAATTTTTTCTTCATCTTATATTAGTATATAATTATAAAAGATAGATGAAATGATAATATCAAAATATTATATATTATTATAAGATAAGATTATCATAAGATACATTTACTCTATTTAATTTCTAATTTATGTTAAATTGCAAAAATAATTAGTAATAAAAATTTTAATTAAAATTTTCTATTATAAAAAAAAAAAATCACTTTTTTTTAATGAAATTAAACTTTCTTGTACTCTTTAATAAACAATTTCATTTAAAATTTTTTTTAAAAATTTAATAAAAATTATTGAAAAAATATTTTTTTCTTTCTTAACAGATATTGGATATAACAATATTATCAAACTTCGAAAATGCTTTTCGATATGTGAAAATGCTGTAATGTATACACTAAATGGTCTTGTTGTCGACAATATTTATACTTCATGTAAGCTACTAATTATTTATTATTAATTTACGAAAAAAAAAATATTATTATTTTACATAATTTATCAAATATTTTAAATTCTAGCTTCAAAATTTCTGTATTTTAATTTTAAATTTTTACTCAAAATTCAATTATATCTTTGAAAAATAAACAACTTAAAAATTCATAGTTATTATATATAATATCTATTTAATCGAAATATATATTCGGGGTAGAATTTAGAAAATGAAAAATTTTAATAGTTCAAAAAGTGGAAAGCATATTATTCCAAAGACAATTTGTTATAAAAAAAAGAAAAGGAAATAATATATGAAAATATCCCTACATCAAAAAAAAAATTAAATCAGTCAATAATTATCATTTAATTATAATAATGTCAATCAGTTTGATTATTTTTATTATTTACACTGTATTTATCCAAAAAAAAAAAAAAAAAGTTTCACATATAAAATTTGAATATTAATTAAAAATTACTAATTTCATTGAGTTAAAATAAAAAAACAGTACTGAAAATAGTAATAGTAATAATAATAGTATAATAATAATAATGATAATAATGGTAGTAATTAAATTGATATATTTTTAGTGGAATGTTTGATGACATGTGCTATATCACATCAGGTTTATAAAACAAAATGCTACTCTGTAAATTGGTTTAAAAATACTCGAACATGTTACCTGCATACTACTGAAACTGATATTAATAATTTAAAAGTTACTACAGCATCCGATTTCTTCCTTAACAATTGCGCTGGTATTAAATATTTGAATTTAATAATTCTTTTTGCTCATATTCTATTCTTTATATTTCAAAAAAAAAAGAAAAAAAATTTTTTTTAAATCTTAATTAATAATCTTAAAAAACAATTTTTGTAAAAAAAAAATGCTTAGTAAAATTTAAATTATTTGTTAAATTTTATGTTAACTTTATAAAAATTTTAAATAAATATTTTTTAGAAATTTCAAAAAATTTAAAATTTTTCAGATAACTAATATATTTTGGAATATATATTTTTTTTTTGGGAATAACATATTTCGGAATAAATAAAAAAAAAGTAACCACGTAACATTCACGTCGTATGACGCTTGCGTATACTACTATATCTAATGATAGCGTAACTATACGTTAAATTTAACGACGTGAAAAAAATTTATGCAGAAATTAAATGAATATTAATTGGCAAGAAAAAAAAGAAAAGAATTTTTTTTTTTTGCTATTTTTGAAAATTTAAACTTTTTTTAAGCTTTAATTTTGAAACTTTCTTCGTGCATCTTTTTCAGTTACTAAATTAACTTACTGAGTTCTCTAAAAAATATTGAAAGTATATTATAATGAGAAAAATTTGTGTGAATCGATTCTGCTAATTTCAGAGAAAAACAAAAAAACATAAAATTTTAAAAAATATTTAAAATGAATAACTGAAAAAAATATTCGTTAATTTTATTTCTTTTAGACTTTCCTTTTTTTTTTTTTTTTTGTTAAATTTAAAAATAAATTTCAGATTCTAATATAATAGTGAATGAAAGCAATGAATGTGAAGAAGATTACTGTGATAAATAGTGAAAATTTTATAATCACTGATATGAAATTGATAGATAATAATAAAAATTTAATTTGTCCCTTTTTTTTTTAAAAAAAAAAGAATTAATTTCAAATTAATTTAATTTAATTGTTAAGATATCATCAGTTATTTTATTTCAAATTATTTAAAATAAATTTTCTTCTAAATAAAAATTTTTTGCAGCATTATACAAAAAAAAAAAAAAGCAAATATGAATAGAAACTAAAGGAAAATACTTTTTTTGCTTTTTTTTTCTGCTTGAATTTTTTGATTTAATTCTTCATAATTTTTTAATTTTAAGTTTTTAATTTTAATAATTTTAAGTTACAAAAAAAAAAAAAAGAAACGAACAAAGAGATCAAAATTAGTTGAAACAAACAGATCAAAATTAGTTGGAAAAAACAGATCAAAATTATTTGAAGCAAACAGATCAAAATTGATCGAATCAAAGAGATCCAAATTAGTTGAAGCAAAAAACTATTGCCACACTTTTGGAATCAAATAAACTTCATTGTCAATCATTCATTTGCTGTAATCTTTTTGTAAGTTAAAAAAAAAAGAATTCCAAACAATTATTGATTTTTAGAAAAATCATTTAATAAAAAAAGTTTTTTTTTGTGAGAATTGTTTCTTTTTTTTGAATTTGAACTAGTAATCACTTAAATAAATGTAAAAATTTTATTACCAAATCAAATTTACAATATCAAATAAACAAATGATTTGATTGAAATCAATTTGAAAATTTAAGAATAATACATTTTTCCTTTCATTATTTACTTAAGAACAGAAAAATTAAATTTAAATTGTATCAAATAATTTGATTCGATCATTTCTTCATATTTGCAATTTGCAATGAACAAAAACAAAAAAAAAAAAAAATGAATTTTATATGATGAATAATAATTATAAACATAAATTACTCGTTTAATATGAAGCAAAAAAAAAAATCTAGCGTATATGACGTAAAGTATATGACGTAAAGAATATGACGTAACAGATTATCACATATTTCTTTTATTAATTATTAATCTATCACAGCAGGTATTCCACTATTTGTTTTTTTTTTTTTTTGCCCTTCTAATTTCTTTTATGAAATTTGATATTTTAATTACTTTCTGCCAATCAGTCAATCATTCATTTTTATTTTATTTTTTTTTCCTTTCATTTTTTTTTTTTGGAATAAATATTTGTGATTAGTAATGAATAAATGATATGCACATTCATTATTTTTGCTAATTATGCGATAAAAATTGAATAAATTCTTTTTTTCTTTCTCTACTTGGCTTATTTGTTTAGCAAAAACTTTTTTTGGCTTTCTTTTATATGTTTTAGATTAGTAATATACAAATATTTCATTCTTTATTATTGTTTATTATTATTATTACTATTATTTATCATTGTTTGTTATTATTATTACTATTATTTTTTATTGTTTATTATTATTACTACTATTTATTATTGTTTATTTTTATTACTATCATTTATCATTGTTTGTTATTATTATTAGTATTATTTATTATTGTTTGTTATTATTACTATTATCTATTATTGTTTATCATTATTATTGTTATTACAGGCATCAAAAAATGCCAATATCTAACATAATATTTTATAGAAAAAAATTTTTCAAATTATTGAAATTTTGAAAAATTCTTTTTTTTTTTTTTTTTTAATCATAATGAACTGATTGCTATTTCCTCTCTGCTTTCTACATCATAAAATATTTTTAATTATTGATCAAAAAAATTATTTGGGAAAAGTTTATCAGAAAAATTTTTCAAATATCAAAGAAACTTTTTTAAAAAAAAAAGAAAGAAAAAAATGAAAATTTTTAAACAGAATGCCGCCTTTGGATAATAGCGCTTATACGATTTGATCTATGCCGAAATTAACAATTTGAACAGAAGAGAGAATATTTTCTTTACTTTTTATTCTTCTAAAATTTCACTTTCTCATACATTTTCTCATTTATAGATTTTGAAAAAATTTTTGGTAGCAAACAGTTTGCTAGTGATAAATATTTTTGATTATTATTTCATTTTATCATAGCAATGAATTAAGCTTTATTAGCTATTTCAAATGAAAATTAAATTTTAAATTAAGTTTAAATTTGGCTAATAGATTTGTAAAAAAAAAAAGAAATGAGAAAATAAAAAAGTGACAAATTTAAAATTTACTTATCATTTATAATTAATCAAATTCGATGAATTTAAAGACATAAAAAATTGTCATAAATTATTGTTGATTTGGAGAATAAAGCTAATTTTTTTTCCAATCAAATAGCATATGTCTTTTTTTTTTGAATAAAATATTATTTTATTAATTTTTTTCTCTCAGTGTTTGTATAAAATATAATTATATTTTATCATTTAAATTTAAGTAATGCATTTCCTAAATTTCATTTTCATTTCAAATTGGTTGGAATTGAAAGAACAAAAAAGCAAAATAAACGCACAAAATGTTAGGATAATACAAAAATAAACAATAATATACACTTAACAATTTAATAAATTAATTTCTCTCTTTTTTTTTTTTATTACAATAAAATAATAAATAATTGCTTCAATGTTAGATAAAAAATGAAAAACAAATTTAATTTAATATCCAATTTAGTTCATAATTTAAACATTTCAAAAAGAAAAAATTTTTTTTCCATTACTTTTATTTTCTTTTTTTATTGGTTTTGAACAATTAAAAGTGTTTTTCAAATTGATAACGATACATTTTAAATTTTACAATGATTATTTAAATTAATTTAAAAGTAATAATTTCGTGTTAAATTTTCACATTTTCGTTTTTTTTTCTTTCTTATACATGAAAAATTTTTGTAAATTTAAAGAAGAATCATCGTTTTTGCACATTAATGATTGATGATTAGCTGAGAGAATGATGAATTTAGTTGATGGAAATTTATTGTAAACATATAATTTAGTGATGTGAAGTTGTAAACAAAATTTTGTCGGCATTTTTCATTTCATCACTCTCTCAGGATAATAAAGAAAATTTGTTGATATCACTAAGCGATTCTCTTTTAACACTACTTAGAGATATTATTTATGAGATAAAACAAAAAAAAAAAAAAATTTAAATTATTTACAAGTTGATAATAATTTATTTATTAAATTTGATATTAAAAATTTTTGAATATCTATTACGGCACCCAAAATTTGATGTAGTTCATTAAATTATCCATTTAAAATCTAAAATTATCAATATATCATGAATAAAACAATCAAATTATCATTTGAAATTATCATATCATTGTGATAAAAATAAATGAGATATGCTTTGTTTAGATCGAAAATTCTTTAAAGAATAAGAAGAAAAAAAAAACAACAACAACAACAACAAAAACAAAAAAAAGACGATATGCAATTTATATACGTGTATGTACGTGTACGTGTACGTGTACGTGTACGTGTGCGTGTATGAACGTATAAGTACATGTGATATGTGCATGTTTTTTGAAATAAATTTAGATATGCATCAATTTAAACTTTTAATTTTAAATTTTAAAATAGAATGAAGAAGAAAGAGAAAAAAAGCAAAAGAAAAGATGAAGTAAACAATTATTATCATTTATTAATTAAATGATAAACAATGAAATGATAATTTTTTTTCTCGTTGTTATTATGATAATTTATTATTGAATCAAAATTAATTTTAATTTATTGAAAAATTTTAAATTAATAAAGAATAAATTTAGTAAAGGTTTACATCTTAAACTTTTTCAAATAATGAAACAATTTTTTTATGAACATAAATGAGTAAAATATACATTTATATTTATAAAAAAGAAAATTTTTTTATTTCTCAAATAAACATATATACATAATGAAATTATTTATTGATGTTTAACTAATAATAATATTAAATATGATTAAAAAATGATTTTAAAAAAAGAGAAATTAAAAATGGTATTATGAATGTAAGTAAAAAGTAAAAAGTAGACAAAAGTTAAAGTAAATGAATTTCTTAAAAACTTCTTAATGCCATGTATGATTCAGATTATTAAAGTATATATTATATTATTAAATATGTAATATATTATTAAATATAATTACTAAAATTAATTATTAAAAAAAAATTTTATACTGTTATATTATTAGACATCATATTATTAAATATAAAATATTATAATTAATTATCAAAAAAATTGTTAGATATAAATTTATTGAGGTTAAAAAGTATTACTAAAGTTAATTGAAATGACTATATTCTTTTTTAAAATAATTAGCTTTTTTTTTTTTTTCAATACCAATAAATTTTCACAACAATAATTATTATATAATAAAATTTCTTAGTTTTAGTTAATAATATTTTATTTCTTTTTTTCTCCTACAATAACTTTTAAAAGTATGAAATGATAATTTGCGATTAAAATAATATTTTATTTTAATTGCTATATCAAATAAAACATAAATGTTATTTTATACTTTTTTTTTTTTAAATGATATTGCAAATTTATCATTTCATTATTTTATATTATTTGAAAATAACTTAAAATTAAGAGATAAAATTTGAATTGTTTACTTTTTATAAAGTTTGCAGAGATGGAATATGTGTGAATCAGTTCATTCTTATTTATTTTTTTTATTCTGATCTAAAGTAGGTGTGGTTAGAAATTTGTAGAGGTGGGATTTGTGTTAGAAGTGGACAACAATGGATGACATTTGCATCTTAAAATATCGGAAATGATACATTGTCAAAAGTTGAAATATATTTTTTTAGTTATAAAATTTGTGATAAATATTTTTTTCTTTTTTTTTAAAAAAAAGTTTTATATGAGAAGCAGTTATCAGTAATGTTTAGATTTGGAAAATATATTTTGTGATATTAATTGATATACTTATATAATTCATATAATTAACTCATATTTCACATCGTTAATTAATTGATATATTTATATAATTCGTATAATTAATATTTTTATCATGATAATTAAAAAAGTACTTATCAGTAGTAGTTATCAGTAATGATTACATTTGAAAAAAAAAAATCTTTTTTTGATTGAAATTTGTTCTGTAATAATAGGGAAATTGTGATATTAAAAAGATTTGTATCATTTATATCATAAGTAGTTATCAGTAATGATTACATTTGTAAAATGTATTTATGATTAGAATTTGTACTGTGATATTTAAAAAGTAGGATTATATTGTACAAATTGACATGATATGGCATGATATCACTTTCTTTTTTTTTCTCTACAAATAAGAAATGTTGAATAATTCTGATTTAATTTGTTTCATTTATTTCATTTCAGCGATTAATGATGATTCATGATGATAATAATGATAATGAAAATGATGATGATAATGATAATGATTATGGTGATGGTATTGGTGGTATTTGGTATACGAATCGATCGATTTATTTTCAACTATTAATACTATTCGTTTATATATGCAAATTTAATGCTTTAACGATTGATTATATCGATAATAATAATAATAATCATTATGATAATAATGATAATATGATAAATGTATGGAAACACAGTACGCACTGTTCATGGCATTCAAGGTACTGTACATATAATTATATGTATATCTATTATTTTTAAGTAATAAATTTAAATTAAATAATTTTAAGAAAAAAAAAAATGATGCATTGCAGTTGATTTATTAATAAGTATTAATTTAAAAAAAAATTATAGAAATTTTAATAATTAAAAATTTTGCTGCAAAAATTAAGCAAATATTTTAGGCTAGCAATTGCGATACAAAAATTATCGATTGAGAAGATTAAATTTTTCTTTCTTTTTTGAAATTGAATTTTTGTGTAGTCAGTAAAAATTTGTAATTTATTAAATCGATTAAAATAGTTTCTAAAGTATTAAAAAAAAAATGTTGCAAAAATATAGGATAAATGATTAAAAATATGTAAATGAGGAAGTAATCATCATCAGTATCACTTTATCACTATTGAATTTTGCTAGTTGGAAAGATTTTTTGAATCTATTTTGGTTGGCCTGTTAATTTCATTAATAATTAATTTCAAATAGTATTGATTTTGGAGAGGAATTAAAATGTAAAAAGTCGAATAAGTAAGTAAATAAATGTTAACTTTAAATTAAAAAGTAAACAATTATTTGTAGGAAGAAAATTCAATTTGAAATTTATTTCGAACTTATAAGTTTTTGTTCAACTAAGTGTTAAACTTTTTATTTTTAATTTGCTAATTTAATTTAATTCAATTTTTAAATATTGCAAAAGTATGTATTAATAAGTAAAATATTTTGATTATGCAAAATTTAGTAAAGTTTGAAATTTCGGTGCAATCGGAATGCTTTCCCATCGTATGGGTATCGTTCCGGATTGATTTACCTGAGATAAGAAATAGGTTGAATGGATAATGTATGAGAATCCAATGACCTTTCTGACTGACATATTGACATTTCCTTTTTTTTTGTTTACAAAAAAAAAAAAAAAAAAACTAAAATATTCTTCTTTTACAATTTGATAATTTAATTCAAATATTTTTTTAAAGTAAAAAAAGCAAAAATTAAAATATTGAAATTACAAAAAAAATTTTTTTTAGCAATAAATATAAAAATCAGAGAGAAAAATAAAACAAATAATAAAATTATTTATTGATGTTTTATTAAATAACATTTTTTTGCAAATTTAAATTATCACTAAAATTACCAAATTACTGATAATGCTGTAAATTTCACTTAATGTTTTTGAAAATTTTTTATTTCAGATTTTGATAAAAAGAAAAAAACAAAAATGTTTGCAATTGGATGAGATGAAAATTTAAAATAAATCACCGCATGATAAAATGAAAAACAGAAATAGATTATTCAATAAGATAATTTTAAAAGAATTTAAAAAAAAAAAAAAAAAAAAAAGGAATGCAATTAATTAAAATATAACGTTAAGTTACTTTTTAATAATTGTTATACAAAAGTATTTTTTTAAAAAATTTCATTTATGATTTTCTTTTCTTTGAAAAATATATTCATTAAACTTTTTTAACTTTTTTTTTTTTAAATGAAATTAATACAATACAAAAAATTAATGAATTTTATTTTAAATTATATTTTAAAAATTACTTATCATCAACTTTTTTTCCTTTCTTTTTTTTTCAATTAATTTCTTTATATTAAATTTTCATTTACAATAAAAATGTAATAAACAATTCTGTCTTCATCATTCATTTTTCTTATCTCATTTTGATTTTAAAAAAAAAAAAGAAAGAAAAAAGGAAAATTTCTTTTTTAAAAAATAATTTTGATCTGACCGAAAATGGTTACACGCATCATTACGCATAAATTGTTATTATAGGCAAAATTGAAAGAAAAAAAGAGGCGAATTTAAAAAAAAAATGAAAAAAAAACAAATTTTTTCTTCTTGTCAAGGATGATTACTTAATTAGTTAGTCAATCAATCAATCAATCGATCGACCAATCAATCAATCGAACAATCAATTAGTTAATCATTTGTTCAAAAATTATTCAGATATCGTTTTGTTTAAAAAACCAAAAAATTTTTCTTCCTCATTTTCTTTCTTTCTTTTTTGTTTGATAAAAATTCAATTTTTTTTCTTTGATTTAATTTCAACAATTGCAAAAAAAATTATATTTTAATTGTTACAAAGCAAAAATTTTCTTATCCATTAGTTAAATCATTTTTTTATTTTTTATATTTTATTTTTCTATTTTTCATTTTATCATTTTTTTTTTTTTTTTTTTAAAAATAAATACGCTCAATTGACTTTACACTATAATCAATCAAATCGATTACATTCATTCAAATCTCTAACATATATTTTCTACTTTTTATATTATACTTTTTCTCATCCATTTTTTCCTATTTTTTTTTCTCTTTTTTTTTTATTTCATTTCATTCTTTCAATGAAAGCTTTTTATTTTTGTAGAAAAAAAATTTTTATTTTTTAAATTATAAAAATAGTTTTAAAGAACAAAAAAAAAAAAAAAAAAAGAAAATTGCAACATTCATATATTATAATTACAATTGTATGAATTTTAAAAAGTTAAAAAATTAAAAGAAATGAAATAATTGTATTTTAAATTAGTAATTTTCTTTTTTTTTTTGTTTGCATTGATAGGCAATATAAATTGTTAAAAAATAAATAAATTTTTGAGTAATAAATGAAAATAAAAAATAATACCTTTTCTACAAAAAGATAAAAAAATTAAATTCAAAATTTGGTCATTTTTTCATTTGCTAGCAAAAAAAAAAGAAGTGAAACTTTTATATTTTTAGTATAATTAAATAAAGATATAAACAAACTAAAAAAGCAAAAAAAAAAAAGAAACATTAACTAAAAATAAAAAAAATTTAACAATGATTTAGAGAGCAAAATAGTGTAAGTATTATTTGTTGTTATATTACATTATAAAGTAATTGAATTATTAACTGAAATAATTTAAAAAAACAATTCATATTCATAAACAATTCCAAGCATTTCATTACAAATAATTGATCGTTAAAATTAATATATTTTAATTAAAAATACAATATTTGTTTATTTAAATTAATACAATTTAATTAAGTAATCTAATATCGATTTTTTAATTGGTACAATTTAATTAGCAAATGCAACATTGTTTTATTTAAATCAGCATAATTTAATTAAAAAAAGTGATACTTAATAATTAAGTTTTATTATATTAATTTAAAAAAAAAAAACTTTTTAACTGGTATGATTTAATAAGGAAATGTAATAGTGATTCTTTTAATTAATATAATTTAATAAACAAATAAAATATTTTTCAGTGGTGGAATAAACGATCAAATTATTCAAAAGGTAAATTTATCATGTAGCAAAGGTTATCTTCAATGGATTGATCCGATTGGTGGAATGCAAGTTCGATTTTTAATCAAAAATTTAAACAGTGAAAAAATTTGTCTTCGAATACGTTTCTTACTACCAATCTATAAAATATTATATTATATATTAGGTATGCATACATTTATACCTTTTTCTTTCTTTCTTATTATTATTATTATTATTTTTTTTAAATAAAATAAAACATAAAAGTTTTTTGTAAAAAATGAAAAAAAAAAAAAATAAATTTCTACTTAAAAAGAAACCAACCATATGCATATTTTTTAACCTTAAAAAAAGAAAAAACTTGGTTATTTCTTTATTTTTTTTTTTTTTGCTTCGATTATATAAAATTAACATTTACAGATGAAAATAGACATCAGTTAATAAATGTGATGGAAGAATTTCAAAAATGTATGAAAACTGAACTGCTAGATGTGATCATTTTTATTGAAATTTCAAAAATACATAATTGGAAGCAACGAATTGCTGGTTTTCAATATGAAATTTTGCCAGAATTATTAATTAATAATGAACGGAACAAATGTGATATTTGCTCAAATAACAATATTATAAATGCATTTTGTAATAATGCTGATTTTGGTTTGTTAATTTATAAATTATTTTTTATTAATTTTTTTTTTCCTTTTTTTCCCTTTCTCTCTCTCTCTTTTGTTTTTTTTTTTTTTTTGCTTTTATCTTGATCTTACTTATAAAATTATGCAATAAAAAAAGGAGCATTTGTAAGTTCAAAAAAAAAAAAACAAAAGATCAAAAATAAATTTTATCTTTTGGTAATAATTTTTCCAGAAATGATGAATTTTGATCTGAAAGTTTTCCTTATTTTTATTCTTTTATTTAATTATTATTATTTATTTTTCTTTTGGCTATTGTTATTAATTAACTGTATAACTAATATCAAATATTTTGCAGCAAAAAAAAAAGACACAGAAAATTTTTAATTTTATTTTAATTAATTGAACAGGAAAAAAAGAAGGAAAAAGTTGAAATTTAAAAAAAAAAAAAAGTTCTTTTTTTTTTTCTTTCAGTATTTGAAGGTTATCAAAGTGATGCAAATAATAAACGTATATTAATTGATAAAATATTACGAATGCCAATGCATTATCATCAAATAATCGAAAAGCGCAATAATCAGAGTATTTTGAAAGGTAAATTTCATTTTCTATCTTTTTTTTTATATATATTCTTTTAATATTAAATTTGAATTTATTAAAACTTTTTTTTTTTTTTTTTTTGAAAAAAAATAGAACAAAAAAATTTTATTTGAAAACATTTATGAATGGCAGAAGAAAAGAAAACAAAAGTATTTTTCATATTTATTTAAAATATTATTTACATTTTTTTTTTGTTTTCCTTATTTTTGCTTCTCTTTTTTTTAACTTTAAATAAATTTTGTTTTTAAATTTTAAATTTTAGCACCAGTTATTGGTTGTTTATATGAAAAAGATGAGAATAAAACTAGTCGAATTTACATTGCTAAAATGAAATTTGATGCGGTGCATATCATTTGTTCGCCAACAATTTCGCATTATGCGCAAATTGTACAAGAGCAATCGGAAAATGCGCCTTGTCAATTAACAACATTGTGATAATAAAATGTTAATTAAATTGGTAATCTCATTTTTTTTTTTTTTTAAATTTACTACAATATTAGTTTTTTATTTTGTTTTACAAAAATTTATTGTAATATCAGTTTTTTCTTTTAATTTTTTTTTTTTAATATCAGTTTCTTTTTTTCTTTTAAAATTTTTTTTACGGCATCATTTCATTTCTTTTCTTCTGAATTCTAAAAATTATATCAAAATTTTGTTTAATTTTTTCAGAAATAAAAATTAAAAATATAATTAGTGATTAAGAATATTCATTATTAATCACAAAACCTAACAGAAATTATAAAATATTCATTGCTATTATAAATGTATAAAATGCAAATTTATGATAATAAAAAAAAATTGTTTTAATAAAAAAAGAATTAATCAATAAAATATTTACATTTATATAAAGTGAAATTATCATATCAAATTCAAATTTGTTTAAATTTGATCAAAATATAAAAATTATCGTTGTTGTATTATTTTTGTAAATTAATAAATTTTATATCAAAGAAACAATTTTGATAACAAAAAAAGTGAAAATCATTCTGTGTTATAAATTTTACATATAGTATAATAGTCCCATCTTAATTTCATTAACATATATCATTCATTATATACAATAATAATAATTATTATTGTTATTATTATTTTATTATTATAATTATTGCTGCTGTTATTGCTGTTTCTTATTACCATTATTATTATTATTATTATCATTGTTATCATTATTATTACTATTTACTATTGTTTTTTACTACTATTATTATTATTATTATTTATTATCATAATTATTGTTAATATTATTTTTATTATTATAAATACTTTTGTTTTTATTGTATTATTATCATTGTATTATTATTATTATTATTAATAATAATAACATTAATATCATTATTAATGTTATTATTAATGTTATTGCTATTGTTTTTATTACTATCAATATTATTAGTATTACAATTATATTAATTATATATTTTTCATCAAAAAAAAAATTCACTGATTAGTACAAAGTTTTCTCTTTTGATCTTCTTCCTGCGATTTTTTCTTCTTTTTGCATTTGTCGTTAAATATTTTTTTTATTATAAATCATTAAGAGTTAATCAATTTCAGGAATAAATTGCTTATCAAACAATACAATAATGTTATCATTATAATAACATCGTATTTTTGTTTGGAAATATTTGATAGATAAATAAATATTACTAAATATTTTTACGAATATTTATTATTGCTTACACAATTATATTAATAAATACATTAATTAGTTAAAAAAAAAAAAATTGATTGGAAAATTTGTTAGAATTTGTTGAATTGATGTAATTATAAGAATAAATGGATTGATGCTATCTTCTAGAAAATAATATTCTCTGTAGCAATTATTGTTTAGCTCTTATCACTAGTGATAATAATATTAGAAAAAAAACTGATAGCAGTAAATTTAGTTGGGAAAAAAAAAGACAATAAATTAAATTCGATACAATTAATCATCGTGTAATAAATGAAAAACTAATTTCTGCTAAATTTATTTACTTAATTTTTTTTTCCTTTTTTGTTTCTTACTTTTTATTTACTTTGTTATTTTATCATATAAATAAAATGATATGTAATCAATTTAATTTAATAAAAAAAAAAAATTTTTTTTTTTTTTAATAATGAAATGGCAAAATGATTTCTCATCGTTCAATTAAACTTTATCTATTAACAAATAATTGCATTTCACATACTAATTTACCACTTCACTGAATTGATCATTACAGATGAGTAAACTCACAAATATGTCAAAGGAAGAAGGACAAGAAAAGAGTTTAAAGGTCACAAAAAAACTTTCATCGCCAAATTACAATCAATTATCGGTTAATAAGGGATTAGAAAATTGTTATGTTAAATAATTGTAAAATTATCACAATTTTGCTATCAATTATTATTTTCAGTATAATATTATGAAATACTTTGATAATTACCAATAATATATTAAATATGAAGGAGAGAGAGATGGAGAGAGAGAGAGGGAGAGGAAGAGAAAGAGAACAATTTATTTGTCGAATAAAGAAGTTCAAATTGTTAACTTTTTTTTTTAGCTAACTCTCAGTTGAATTATAATTTATTATAAGATTTTCTGATTCAACACTATTTGAGCGTTGCAGTTAGCATATTATTATGAAAATTATGATCAATTCATTTTTGTTTTTTGTCGTTAGAAAATTATTTGCATACTAACAAATTGAATAAACTTATTTACTTTCTATTATGATATAACACATATCATTCTTTGAACATCAAACAAAATACTTACACAGATTAAATGAAATAAACAAAGTACTTCAAAATATGCTTCAAATATAATAAATATAATAAAGAAGTCTACTGCTTAAAAATTTTTAATCTATTTGAAATATGTAGTAGATTTTTGAATTTTTCCATTCTTAGTGTCTATAATTGAAAGCTATAATTTCAGAAATATATTATAAAAATACAATATCTTGAAATAATTTGAAAGTAAAAATTTCATTCTTAAATATATTTTCAAACTATTCATGCTAGTCAAAAAACACAAATTTCTGAATTATCGTCTTATCTATTTTGAATTTTTCTCTTAGAAAAAAAAAAAAAACTTTCAGTATTTTTTCGTCCGCCACAAACCGGTATTTATACGAATAAATATTCGTAATAAAAATCAACAATGTATCCTGAATACATAAGCACAAAGAACAAGTAAAAATCGTTCACGTCTTCGAAATTTTTCAAGTTGGCTCATATTGTGAGAATTTATCTCTGGTACTGAAATTGCTCGTAACTGAAAAAAAAAAAAAAAATACAGAATAAATGGTTGATAAAAAGAAAGCATCATTAACTTCCTGTAATAATAATCAGATTATTCTTCAAAATTTTAAACTTCTAATTATTGATAGCAAAATTTTTTCTTAAAAATAAAATTTTGTGTTTTATAATTTCAAATAATATTTACAATCTATATAGTAAAATTGAAACATCATACCAGCAGTTGCTCTTTTTTATGAAGATGAAGCTTTTCGTATACATCTGCAAGTATAGCAACAAAATGCAAGAAAAACAAAAAACAATAAGAACAATTAATTATGATTTAAAGAGCTTCTAGTAATGTACCAATGAAGAATTAATATTTTCTAATCATTTATACCACTAAAAACTAATTTCATTATCCAAGCTAATACACAACAATCCAATTTCTATTTTTATCTAAATCTTTCAACTTTTTACTTACGTGTATGACATAATCCGCTTATCAATTTATGTAAGTAAGAATACATTAGCCATTTTGCATTTATGCTTAATCTATAAAGAGTGCAACTTCACCGATTACTTTAATGCATCAAACAACGCTTCCTGAGTTTAAATTTCTCCTTACCGATATTTTCAATTAATGTTTAATTCTACAATTACATTAATTTAAAAAATTTTAATTTTCATAAAATTTACATAGAAAAATAAATGAAAATTGCAAAACTGCTTATGTAGTTTTAACTTTTAACTAATATAATGAATTATTTGTTTCGAATAAATCATAAATAATAATGATATAATAAATAATAATAGTAATAATAATAAAAATACTAACCACTCATGAATTCAGCCAAATTGATATCACTTATAAGTGGAAAATAGGCTGTACAAGCATCCAGTGTATCACCCTGAGTTTCCAGTAAAGAAGATGCTGTTGGAACGTAACGTTCGACAGGATTACGCATAAGTTGACAAATTAAGGTACTCAGAGTTTCAGCGCCATTCATTCGTAAACATCGCTGAACTTTGAGCCACATCTAAGATAAATTTTTAAAAATTATATATTTCAAAAAAAAAAAGTCAGAAGTGAAAATAAAAATGTTTTCCCAAAACTTAACTTCTTCATCAATTACTCCTATATTCTTAGTTCTATTATCAACAAAAATGACTGTAACAAAAAAAAAAAAAAAAAAAAATATTCTCTAACATAGATATATGACTACTCTATTTATTCCACCAATATACTATTCATATATCATTTAATCCAACAAATAATTCAAATATTAAACTAATAACTTTTAAGATTTTATTACTTTACTACTTATCCTAGCATAATTTTAATGAGCAAAATAAATGAGGAAAAGTTAATTAGCTTGCCGTATCATCAACAACATTATCAGGAAGAGGTCTCATCAATGAATCACTGCAAGCTACACATGCCTCCATATAAAGAACCAAAGCATCAGCAAATTTATCGCAAGCTAAAATTATTCATGCAAAGAAATTGCAAATAAAACAGTTAACAAAAAATTGCATCATAAAAAGAGAAAAATTCAATAATTTTGCTTACCATAGCAAAAATCAGCATAGGATCGCAACCAGAATGCATTTATCGGATTGACAATTAGTGCATTCTTGAATACCGTATCAAGACATTCTGTTAAAAAAGGTAAATTGAAGCAAAATTCATCATCAGTTCCTTTTTTTCTAAAAAAAAAAAACCAAAAAGATTGAAAGGCAAAATTACTGAAAATAATAATTTTAGAACATATTCTGAATGATACTCTGGCTGTAAAACTATTTATGGTTGTTTGTTCTTCGAAAAGACACCTTAGTGCTTTTATTCGTGATATTTCAATCTTTATTCATTTAAGATTAATAATTTTTAAGAATAATCAACTAACTCCTAAATAATTATTTCATCAGTTTCAAAATCAGCTAACAAAACTTTCTGAAAACTGCATTGAATGACTAAGTAATACTGATGATCCGCTACCTAATTGAAATTAAATTTATTAAACATGTTAAAATAATCAATTTTATGCTATTAAAAACTAAGAAATCATTCTTAGAAATTTGGAGTTAGTAAATTTATGGTTAAGATAAATCATATGGTTTGTTTCCTTATAATAACAATAATAATAAACATTACTCAAAATTAGACTGCCAGTAGTCAGGATGTTCAATAAATATATCTTTATTCATTTCTTGTCCATCACATTCTTTCCTCATTTTTACCACATTTTTAGCTGCACCAAACATTTTACCAAGAAAGCTAATCAGGAAGGATATAGTTCGATATTCCTACAATGATATTTATTGCAATTGGAGGAGAAAAAAAAGAAAAACAACAACAACAACCACAACAAACTATCTTGAAATATTTCCTTTAATCCTTATTTCATTTATTTAAATACCATCATAGATCAAAACAATAATTTATAAGCATACTTTGATGAGTCGTAACATATCCAAAAATTGTACTCTTGTCAGAAGCTGCTTCGTTTGCTCACGCACTAATGATCCATCATTTCGTCTTTTACTGCAATTTATTATTTTACTAAAGAAAAAAAAAAAAAAAATAGTAAATGTTGCAGTTTGTAAAAAAAAAAAGCAGAAGTGAGAAATCTACCAAAATTTTAGAAAATTCACTGTTCATAAAAATGCTAAACAAATTTTTATTGTAAAAATTACATGCCTATTCGATGAAAGATCCTGAAAAGTTGAATTCATAACATGCCACCAGGGACCTTCGACAATTTGACGAGCAACTGTTGGATCATTACTTGTCATATAAGCAGCGATCATTTTAGCTGCATCCAAGAATGGACTTTTCAATCTAAAAATGAAAAAGAAGCACATAAACAAAAAAAAATTTTGAATTTCAGAAACATAAAAATCAAATGTAAGATAAAAATTTATTAGTGCATGTGGCAGAATTGCAATAGTGTTCAAATTAATCGAAATTATTTTTAACACTTTTTTTCAGTAATAAATCAAATGTAATGTTATTTTTAATAATTAAAACTTATTAATAATATAAACTAATAAAATTAATGAATCAGATGAACTTACTTAACAAAAGAACGCAACAAAAAATCCCATTCGCTAGTATTGATAAAAAATGTCACTGTATGAAGCATCATTTTTCCCATTGTTACGGGACTCGTCATGGATGACTGTATTAATGCTTTCACTGTTGAATTCAGTGTTTGAGTAACGTGAACAAACTGAGGATTACTCGATACTCTCGAAAATCGCGCATGCCAACATTCTAACTGAAATGGAAAATAAGCAATAAGGCTTATTTCATTAATTGTTTGACAAGTCATTCCAATGATAATTTAATAATAATAATAATAATAGTGATAAAAATTTGCCAATGATATCATACTTTAGCAATATGATATCTAAAGCAATAGAAAGTTAGCATATATATTTCCTTACTTATAACTAATAAATGCATCACATGAAATTAATTTTTGCACTGAGTTTTCAACTTATTACTGCGATTCTAAATTTATTTTCAGATAATTTTAAAAATTCAAAATGTTATGAAAACCTTCACTTTTATTTCCATTCATTTCATTTTACAAGCAACAAATTATTTAGAAAAAAAATCATCTAACATTTATATACAAAAAAAAAAAAAGTATTTTAACAGATTTTACCTGAACTCGAACAGCATCAAAAGCAAATCGCACTTGTATTTCCTGAATTTTTCCTAATGGTCCCATTTCTTTCACACATTCATTGCAAAATGTACGCCATTGTGTTCCATCCTTAAAATGTTTTTTTTTTTTTTTTTTTTCCTTTTTAATGTCAGTTAAGTCTAAGTGAAAATAAATTTGCTGAATAAATTGAAAAGGAGAAAATTACAACATACCCCAATAACTGCTAGTTGCTCTAATTTGCCTAACATTAGATTTATGTGTTCAAAATTTCCTTGTGAAGCAGCTGCTGACATAACATCACCAATCATTCTGCTAATTCGAAACTGAAAAAAGGAATGTTTCTATCATATTTGAAATTTTCTTTCCATATGTATAGGTAAAGAGGGAGAAAGAGATAAAAAAAAGAAAAAAAAAAAAAAGAAATTGCATATTTCAATAAACACTTACACGACGAGGAACAGTCATTTTTCCAGTCATTTTTGCAAATAAGGATTTTATTTCATTCATATCAAACGAAATAATCAAACGCCAAACATCTGTACCACCATTTAAAAACTCTTAAAATAATCAACATTCACTTACAAGTTCCATTCAGAGAGAGAGAGAGAGAGAGAGAAGTTCAGCAAGAAAGCTTCTTCATTATAAAGAAATAAACTTATATTCAAATCAAAGAAATGTTTTCCATTTTTGAAAAAATTATTCAGAATGATCAAGAGAATAATTACTCACCTTTAATGGCAGCAACGTTTGGCAAAGGATGTACTGGCTGTCGCGAAATGTCTCTGAGATATCTAAGGTATTCACAATCAGGATTCACCTTAATAGAACAGAAGACGATAAGCTAAATTAATTTTCTTTCTCAATAGCAAAAAAGATGAAAAACATTTAATACAGAAAGAAAAAAAAAAAAATTGTTTAGCACAAAAACACAAATAACATATAAAATTTTTTTAAGAAACTCACATTTTTAAATTCTTCCACAAAATTCGGTATTTTTGTAGATAAAAACTGTGTCACTTCCTTTATTAGCTGTGCTTGTGAATTTCTTTTCACCAAACGCAAACAAGTCTATGAAATTCAACAGTAAATATTAATTTAAAGCAATGAAACGCTTAGAATTACTAGTGGTAAAGTTTTGAAATTAAACTCACTTATATACATGAAATAGAAGTTTACAAGTAGGGAGCAATTTTACACACTGACCATGGAAATTAATTTTAAAGAAAAAAAAAGATACCGTAATCAAACGAGAAATAACTGGTTTGTTTGCTGCCAATTTCGTTAATGTGCTTAAAGTAGCCGGAAAACCATTGCAATATTCCGAAATAATATTTTCAGCTAAAATATCATTTACGAGGGCAGACTCTGATGTACAAGCAATCCTTTGACATTCCAATCGATGTACCAATGAATAACTATCCAAAATATCTAATGTCTAAATGAAAAGAACTATTTTGAACGCTCATTTTAATACCTAAGGTAAAATAAAATTTCAAAATTATTTAGTTTCAATTTTATACTACAATCCTAAAATTTAAATTTTTCTAAACTGAGAAAATATAAACCTTTTCATTGATTGTTCCAAACATTAATTCATTTTGAGAACGTGGAACAGAAAAACAATATGAATATGTGATGCCATAAGCGTCACAGTAACCGGCTAAATCATTTTCATTTATTCCAAACACAACATTATCCATATGAAATTTCTTATATTTTGGCCAATTTTTTACAATCTATAAATTATACTTATATTAGTTGTCAAATTATTTCATGCATTCATATTTGTTGTACATAAAATTATAATACGATTCTTCCTATTTTATTTTTATCTGTGTTTTAACGTGTTTTAAGTTCATTTATATATATATATATATATATATATACGTCAAATGCAATTAAAACCATGTTGAAATGATTACCTTTTCTAAGTTATTTCTTACTTCTTGTACTTTACCGGCAGCGAAATGATTGCACATTAATGAATATAAAACCTGAAAACAAATAGTAATATAAATGTGATTATATTATTTTGATTAAAAAAAAAAAGAAAAAGAAAAGGAAACATACATAAATTGGTAAATATTTATTACCGTCATTGTCCAAAAATTGTAATCTAATCGTCTGTTATTTGTTTGAAAATTAAGGACTGGAACCGAAGCGATTCGCATGTTACCAAAATTTAAAATATTATCAGTGGATAAATTTGGTTCCTGAAATGTAAAAGTCATTCATAAATAAACAATAAACAAAAGTAAACAATTTGGTTAACATTTGGTTCCGATATTACTTTCATTAAACATTCATATTCATTCATAATAAAACCGACAAAAAGTAAATCATATGAACATATTTCATTATTAGATTTAGAATAAGCATACATATCGGTAATATCAAATATTACTTAATAATAAGTAATGTATGCATACTTTCTAAATATCATTTTAGTTTCACAATATTGGAACTAAGCATATATACTTGTTCCGGTTTATGTCAGTAGAAGTAATTTTGGATTATTATACAATTTTATATAAAAAAAAAAAAAAAAAAAAAAAAGAAAAATTAAAAAAGCTGAAACCTTTGATAAAGCTTCCAAAAAGCATTCTTTTGTAGGTACAACCATATGTACTTTGCGACTACTTTCTAACATTCTTTTCAAAAGCTTTTCTGCACCTTCAGCACTTCTTCGTAACTGTAAAAAAAATCAATTGATCTAATTCAGGTAATCTTATTAAAGCTATTATCAATAACAGTAATAAGTACAAACGAAATACATATAATAAATAAAAACGGAATATACATATAAAAGAAATACGTATTATTAATCATACAGTTAACTAGTACATACGTTATTTCTATACTGTCAAATAAAATACTAACATCAGTAATACAATTTTTGAATTGTTCCGCTTGCATAAGATTCGCATCAAATTGATTTAGCCTTAAAAAAAGAAGAAAACCATATTTAATTTCAATACTTTTGTGAAGTTATTGAAAGTGTTTAAAATCTAGTAAATACCAACATTTTGTATATATATATATATATATATATATATATATATATCTCCAGTCAAAACTTCTAATATCACTTTATTATTGAAGTAAAAAGTAGAAAAAAGAAATGGTAGGCTTAAACATGCTACAATTGCTAAAAGGAAAATTTTTTCCATTCTCGAATGAAAATGGGAAGAGTTCTACATTATTACTCCTAAAAAAATGCAGCTAAAAAAATTGCAAGATAAAGTTGAATTATTGATAAAATGAAATAAACGACTGTTATGGTAAGCTTTAAATCAAAAATAAGAATAATTTTTAGCTGTACGAATAGTATGAGAGATTTATAACAATACAGCTGTATTAAATAATTCAAAAAATAATTGGAAATAACATAAAGGAGAGCTTACGGATTGCTAACAGTTGGTTTTGCAACAGTTTCAGGAAAGCGACCATCAACATCTACTTTAAGTAACCATGTAGCATATAACCAACATGCAAAAAGTTGCTCGGGCTTCTCAAATTCAATTTTTGATGCTGTATGAATTTCTATCAACACCGATAATACGTCTTCATTCGAATTCTTAAAATTAAGGAATCAATGACAAATTATTTCTCATTAAGGAAAGAAAAAAAATCAAAGAAAGCAATTTTTCAACAGCAGTATATTTGAAGTCATACATTATCCACTGAATTAATTATCTCATAAACCAAAAAATTTTTAACCAGAAATTATATTCAAAATAATCAGTAAACATACTATAGTTTTCGTCGGATAACAAAATGCTACCAATCGATTCATAAGAGCTTTCATGGATATAATATTACAACTGAAAATTAAATGCTTATAATTAACCAACTATTACATTTAAATTCTAACTACTACATTTAAATTCTCTCAGAAGTAAGTATTACATACCACAGTTAATTCCAGAACATCTCCTCTACACCTGTGCCCTTCTCATTCTACTATCAATACAATCCTCTTTTTTCAAGAAAAAATCGAAGAAATAGTTTCTCGATTTTATTATTTATAGTAATCACAGAAATTAACGATATATATTTCCGAAGTCATAAATTAACTCGAATTCCTACATTTTCAATCAATTCACTGCGTAGGTCATATATTTCTCTACTAAAAGTTACTACTGTTTAATAAAATTTCAAAAGAAAGAAACAGTTATAGTTCCAGATGAAATATACCACTGCTTCATAAGGTCAAGATTCCAGTTGACTGATGCAAAACATGATAAAGCACAGATCCATAACTGAGATGATTTACATCGGTTATATGCTAGATCTTCTGAAGTGGTAAACATATTTTAAAAAACGACCCGATTAAAATAATTAACCTTAATCTATACCGGAATTAATATCATCACAAAATTTCGACTATTTCATAGTACAGTCTATCCGAATTCTTTAAGTAAGATCAATTTCATATCCACAGGATATCTATAATTCTAAAACGATATTAGAAATTTGCTATAGTAAATTAATTCAGAATTCAACCTATATAGCAACATTAAAAAAAAAAAAAAAAAAGTGAAATCTAGAATAAAAACCTTCGTCGTATTCTTTTCGTATCAACATATCACATTCTTTATCAATTGACACAGCCTGATCTGTGAACTGATTTGCCAATGCAGATAGCTGCTTGGAATCTTAAAAAAAAATTAAAAAAAAATAATAATAATGAACAAATAAAATTTCATTTTATTTTTTATGCAATGTTTTATTCCCATATTTGCCTTTCATCAAAATTACTATTATTAAAAATTGCAAATTTCATTTGCAATTTTGCCAACCATCCTCTCGGTATTATTGATAGAATCAAAAAAGATCAATTCAGACATATATAAAAGGGCAATGATATCCGTTCTAAAAGTTATCTCGTCCAGAACAATTAATAGTCTCATCGCAAATGAATAAATATCAGTCTGAATGATTGCACATAAAATTTTACTTAAATAATTTATACATGAAAATGAAATACAAATGTTTTCTTTGTATAATTCCAAAAAAAAAAAGGAATATGGTTTGTAGCATTATGAATTTATGTGAGATAGCATGAAAAAAGAAATGCTTTTTATGTAAAACTAAAGACAGTAAACATGTCGTACGAATCTCAGAAAAAAAGAGAAATTACTTTTCATAAAAGTGCAAACAAATATTTTATTTCATTTTTTGGAGATAGAATAACATTTATGATTAATAATTAAACCAAATATTGCGAGATTTTAACAACCATTTAATTCAGTAAATACAAGATTAAATAAACACTGCAATTATTTAATTTTTTCATTGAAAGAAAAAATTCTCACAAAACGACATAAATAAATACCTCCTCAATTAGTCAGAGTTATTCTTACCTGATCTTTCAGCTTCTAAAAATTTTCCAAATTTCTTTCGATCAACAAAATAATCTAGCCAATTTAATGGTGGTTCTTCACGAAGAAAATTCAAATTATTCATCAATCTAAAAGAAAAACGAAATTGGAAAAATTATGCTAATCAACAGGCAAATTATTATTTTGGACATGAAATTATAAGTGAAAAATCGATATACTTTAAAAAAAATAAAGCATAAGAAGAAAAAATTCCTTTCTACCATAATTTATGCACAAATTAGGGAAATTATCAAGCTATAATAGTTTTCCAAAACCTTTCTTATTGTTATTCTCCAAAAGAATTTGATCTCATATACATATATATATTATATAAATTAAAATAAATTTCCATTAATATGTATATTAAATAATTAAATACACTTAATATCATCAACGAATCTAATCTAATCTGATCTAAAAGGCTTAATTTATCAAATGTAAACTAATATTTCATCCTGTAATCTCATTAAATTATCCGAAGTATTATCAGATTATTTGATATGTAATCTGATAATACTGATAACGTCTTCGTCATAACTTCACGCTCACGTACACGTAAACCAAGCAAACGTTATTGCCAAGCGTTATTCTGCATTTTTGCATTTGATGGTCTCAAATTTAATAGCCGGGCCACAATTCATACTCTGTTAAGTTTTGTCTTAGTCTCTTTCTGGTTTTGCTCATCGGTTTCTCTTTGTTTTGCAAATTTTGTTTACTCATACGCATTAATTCAGTCCTTTTATCACTTTGTCATTCTAGTTAAATTTATCAATTTTTTACCTTTAACAAATATTAAGAAGGTATTAAGAAGATCCTACAGATAGATATATTTTAATTAAATGAATATTATTTAAATAAAATACCAGTCATTTTTAAATTTGATCTAAATCAAATATTTTGCCAGTTATTTTGATTTTAATATATATTCTTTATTTTGGTTTCCTTTAAAATATATATTCGTTTAATTTTAAAAAAAAAAAAAAGTTATGTAATTATTTTCATCATTTTTCAAGAGCATTTATTATCAGGTAGTAAGCAACAACAACAACAAAAATACGATGGGAAAAGGAGCAAATGATAAGCAGAGTGGTTACTGGATGTTTATGGAACATTTTATTAAACCGAAATTGCAACGTGAATTGGGTAGACGAGTAGGACCATTAGATTTGATGCATTTTGGAATGCCTCATTGGACTGTATGTTTGTATTTTTATCATTAAAAAATTTATTATTTAATGTAATATTGTTGTTGAAATTTGTGAAATTTTATCGGTGTGTTGTCAGATGTTTTATCACATGCTATAATTTATTGCTGCAGTTTATTTTATTAATGAATATGTTGGTGTATGTTAAAACATTTTTATGAATTCTTGATATATTAAAATTCACTACAAAATTTTTTTGAATATTACATTTATTTTATGATCATACTTTCAATTTTTTTTTTAACATTATTATTTGACATAGTTTATTTTTTTTTTATGCTAATTGCTTATTGGTGTTATTATTTAACGATAAGAAAGCGTTAGATAATTTATTGGTATAGATAAAATAAATATATGTTTTAATATAAGACAGACTGATATGTGATGTTAAATTTTAATTGTACTGGTGAAAAAATGACTGACAAGTATGATGATGTGGATGATTAATTTATATATATTAACAGGTACTATTACTATAGGATTTAAGTTATGAGGAACGACAAGAATGGAAGAAAAAAGCGAAGGAATATAATAATTCAGAAGTGGGAAGGAATGAAAGAATGTTAAAGCGGCTCGATTATCATCGAAGAAGGTATCATGAAGTAGGTTGTTTGGATTTTTTTTTTTGTTTTGATTTTTATTTGGATTTTTTTTTTGTTTTGATTTCCTCTGTTCATCTTGAAATAGTTAAGTTTGCTGATTTGTTAATGTAATATAACACACCGGATCAGATAGTCAATTGATGTCGTTATAGTAGTATTAGGGTTTTTTTCCCCTTTGACTTAAGTATTAATTTAGTTTTCAAAATTTTAGTTCGGATCAGAATGTTTACTTCAGTTATAAAGTTGCCTTTTCAAGCTTTGTAATATATGCCGTGAAAATCTGTTAGTTGTCTTTTTCGTATGTTAAACTCTCTGCGGATATTTTGAAATGTTACAAATTATTCGATGTTTCTTGCAGACAACCATCTGTACTTATTACCTTGCTTATATATACTTTCTTTTTAAGCCAGCAGATTTCTCGCAACCTTGTACGTCAGGAAATTCGAAGTCAAAGACTAAACTGTCGTCATTTCGTTACGATGAAATTGATCAATATTCGCGTAAAGTAAGCTTATGAAACTAAAATATGAGATTCTCAATAAGTCAACTTTCATTAGGAATCGAAAGTTTTGTCTGTTGATGTATCGTTACTATTCATTGTTTTGGATTTTTTTTTTTTTTTGTGTGTGTTATTTAACTCTCAAAAATGATATCATAACTTAGTCTTTCAAGCAGTTTTTCAAATTTAAAAGCTCGGTTTTCTCCTTTTTTTTTTTTATGAAATGTGGCATTAGTTTTTAGTATTTTGCTGGAATTGGTGATGATTTTGAAGCAAAACGTGAAAATGATCGAAAAAAATTCATCGATCACTATCAATGGAGATTTACACAGAAAGGTTGTTTACACAGAAATGAAATAATTCTTTGATTGAGACGTAAATCGATATAATAACGTTAAGCACTGAAATGATTCATTTACTTTTTTTTTAAAATTTTTTGCAATCATTTATTGTTAAGTTTCACAGTGTATTTTGAATGACAATATTTTCATGTTGCAGAATGCGAAAGCAAGAAAGATTTTTTCTATAAATCGGAGATTATAGTTGTGACAGCGAATATTTATTATGAAGACAGCTCCAGTAAGCGGATGATACCATCCGAAATTTCAATATTAAAATTCAGTCTTAATCGCGGAATTTATGGCAAGCGTCATTACATCTTAGGTTTTACGAGAAATGGAATATCATGCGAGAATAATAAAGTAGAGGCTGAAGAAAATGGTATGCTGTTTCATTTAAGTCTGATACGCTAAGAAGAGATGTTGATTTTAGAGGAAATGTTTATTTTGTTGTAATTGTAGAGCAAATGACTGGATTGTTAATGGATTGTGATAGAATATCTACAAATGTCCGATTCGATTATATTCAAGTTTGGGATGAAATAAAAGCTTTTACGAGTATAAATGATAGTGGCGAGAAACTGTTGTTGCTCTCCAAAGATTGGAATACAGTTGTCGGATCATTTGATACCCTTTTTGTGCATGCGAATGAAAAATCATTTTGTAGGTTTTTTGTATATCTTTCTATAACGATATGCCTGTCATCAATTACGAAAAGAAAAAAAAAAAAGAAAATAGAATCCAATTTTGTTCACAAATATTTATTTATTTGAAAATCAGATGAAAAGTAAAACTAATCTATTATCCATTCGAGTATCTAATTTATATTTTTTTTACTTCATTGGTAATTGGATTAAGCAGAAATTTTTTGACCACTAATTTTTAGCATGTATTTCTATAGTTAATTCAATTCCAGCTCGTATTGAAACACATTTTGCAACTTTGGAAGATTATTTCATGGCTCTTTATGCAACAGTAAATGATGTTCGTGTTACTGATGCAATTAAATCTGATGTCGCAATGGAAATGAATGAACAATGGCACCATGCTGTATTTTATGATTTCACAACTTGCGATTTTCATGCTGGATTGAAATATACCGAGCAGTGTCAAGCTAGGAATTGTTCTCTTTTTGCTGCTCACAAAGCCATGTAAGTTTACTCTTGAATATAGATTCTGTGGAATTAAATTAATTTTAAATTATTGCTCATTATTTTATTGTTGAATTTCATATTGTTTGTTACCTTTATGCATCCTAATATCCTTTTTATGTTTAGATATGAATATATATTCCTCTTAAATATTCATATTTAGTAGATCAAAAATTCTGTTTCTCTTAGAGGGACTCAGTAAGTCTATGGGCGTTATCAATGCTTTGGAAAGGATCTATATATATATATATATATTACTTTATATTTAATTTTCAGATTCAACTTTTTTACACTTTGCAAGAAGCATGTTTTTCCTTCATGCAAATTTACTGAACAACAAATATTGAATAAAGAATTATTATCAACAAATGAAGAGTGAGTATTTTCGACAATTGCAGTTAGATGCTTCTTGTCATGTCGTAAATTTTGTCTCTAGAAATTCATAACCAAATACTTTCTAATGATCGATATTTTATTGTTTCAGTGATTTCTTGGAGAGCATATCGCAGCAACAACCACATTTACGATCAACCAAACATGCAGCAAGCTATGGTTCAGTTGAGAATATATCAAAACAGTTGATGTTACCTAAAAATGGAAACACTGAAATAGGTGCTTTTATTTTAGCAAAATACAAATTGCTAATGAAGGCTATGAATTTAGGAATTGTAACATATCAAACAAGATTTAAAATGCAGTGTCGAAAGATTATCTTGGAGTTCAAAATTTTGGTTACAAAACCAATTTTCATTGCCGCATACGAAGAGCTGGGAAATGATTTTGTTGTGTAGAATCTTATATTTTAGTTATTTTTCCGTTTAATAAGCAATGTTCTCGAATTAATATGATCAGCGGCTAACAACTGTTTTCGTTATCTCATTTCTTATCCGTCTTAGCGTACCAACGTTCCGGAAAAATTGCACCATATCCTAGCAAAAACTAAAATGAAATTTTGGTAAAATTCATTTAACCAAAAGCTTGAAATCTTTAAGTTGTCAATTTTCTACAAATGGTACTTATTTTGTGTAACGTTGTATTAGTGATCATATCAAGAAAATTTCAGCTTATAGTGAGAGAGATAGGATTTTCGCTGACTCAAACCTAATTGATGACGATAGTGATACAGAATTATTCCGCAATGCTTCGATCCCGCAATCATTATCTGAAGGCTATCAAAATGATTTGTTTTTGAAAATGTCAAATCAAGCAAAACAAACTTCTACACTCTCATTGAAAGAAATAGAAGAAGCAGCTAATAATAATGTAAAACACATTCAAAAATCATTTTGCGGTCACAATATTTCAACTTATAATACTTGTTCTGTTTCATCGAAATCAAGCGAAGTATTTCTATCGAAAGTCAATCAAAATGGAATTGTTTCATCAAATGGACCATCAACAGAATTTAGCTCAAATTTGTTGTCCTATTCACCGAAGTCGCCTTCTATCGATAATTTACTCCCTGTGCGAACACTTGGCGGTTTCTGCATTCCAAATGTCTGTCAGACAGATTATTCATGTAATCAACAAACTACACTGGTATCATCCAAAGAGATCGGAATTCAACAGAAAAACACACATTCAAGGTTTGAAATATAAAAAAAAAAAATTATTTCCTGTTTCTCTTTGACAATTTGTCTGTCCTTAATTTCGATTTTCCAGTTTTTTTATCACTTTCCAGCGCTAATTTGAGATAACATTATTTTAAAATGTAATTTTTATTTTTTTCTTATTAAATTCAAGCTCTTTTTGCATAATATTTTTTGAATTTTGTTGGTACTGAACTATGCACCAAAAATTTTTGATGTGTCTTAAATCAAATGACAGCGAATCTACTTACTTAAGCAAAAGTTTACTTGGTAATGAACAGAATGAGAGAAAATTTGAGGCATCTACAGATAAATTGCAAAATCAGTCATCTTCTAGTCCTATTCAGCCATTGATTGTTAACAACGAATGATTAGTTATTTTGAGCTTAATGGTGATTTGATTTCATTCGGTTTTTTTTTTTTTTTTTTTTTTTTATATGTATACTATTTGTCACAATGTATTTTAACTCGAAATAACTTTCTTAATATTTTTTTTTTTCCGCTATATCTCATTCTAGGTTTTGCAAGTAAAACATCTGGCAGTGTAGTATGCAAAGAATTTAGAAGCATAATTTACATTATCCATTTCTTTTTTTTTTAGTTTTGTTGATTTCAGCACGAATCAAGAAGCAGACATTGCAAAATCACTCATTTTGGAGCCTGTCATTTGCAAAGGTAATTTAATGATTTTGTCTCTAAGGTCCGGGAAGTTTGGAATCTTTTAAATTCTCCTTTTCTTTGCATGATTATTTTATTACATCCGTTACTGTTTTAGATAAATTATGTATTTTCAGAGGCAGAAATGTTTGGCTGGTCAGGAAACTTACAAAACAATGATCTTGATGAGAAATTTGCCCTGTGGCTAGATTCGGCATATTTTGAACCTATGATGTCAAAAGAGTAAGAAGAAATTTTCTTTGAAATTGAAAGCAAATTGATGCTTTGTGATTTTTTTTACGTTACTACTATTTTTCTTAAACTTGAAAAAAAAGTGTCATATATAACTATATTTGCAATACTCGGTACAGTGAAAGGACAGACCTGGTTTGTGTTCATTAGATATTATCTCGAATGTGATCTGATTGCATATTTGATAAGTGATAAAGATTCCTCTAGATTTTATTTTCCCTGTAAAAATATGTATAAATTGTAAATCTTCATTTGTGTGTTAGTTACACTGTTTTGATTATCTAAATAAAAGCTTGAGATCAAATTAGATTAACAGAATACAGAAGTAATCCAATCAATCCTGTAATTTTACTGACAGGCAGAAGTTTTTTTTTTTTCGGAAATTCATATTTAAATTCAAATTTCAATCTGGTTTGAGTGTTTCAGGGTGGTCCAGCTTTTGGACTTTGTATAAAAATTTGTATAGGAAATTTTCATAGGAAATTTTTCCGTTTCTTGTTGTAAAATTTGTTTTTTCATTTATGTTGTTTATACATACAAATTTGGTGAACATAATAATGTGTTATTCAGTGAATATCAAAAATTATTTCGTTGGAGCTAGTTATCAGTTTAATATTGGAAAATTAATTTACATTGTTTTATTTTTTTATTTAAATATACTGATGTAATTTAAAACAATTCAAAAGTGATGTATATGATGGTGACGTGCGTGATGGTTGACATATTTTATACATTTGTCTTCTCTTAAATCACATATCAATAATTGAGTAAAAATTTTCAATTGTTAATTATAGGATGATTCAATTGCATTAATTGGAGCTAAAGTTTGGATACATCTAAAATCACGCTAATTAGGATATTAATATTTGCTAACATCAAAGGAAGTAAGATTCACATTTCATTAATCATAAAAGAATTATATGTTAACATAATACTTGCTTGTGTTTGCTTTAATTTCATTGAAATTCATGAAGAATAGCATAGATTCTGGTGAAATAATGAGTTAGTTGCGGTACAACTTTTTTATGAAAAGTAACCATTAAAGTGATTTGTAACTGCAAATGTAATTTGAATTTGAAATCTACAGATAAGATCAGATCATTTAGTTACTATCATCATCAATATAAGTGATATCATCAAAAAACTTCTGCTTACTTTTGTAGATTTTTCCGAAATGCAACGTGTCGGAAGTGCAAAACAAGGAAGTATATTGGATAAATCATTGAGTAGAGGCAAAACGGAGGTTTTTTTATTTTATGAATTTAAAAAAAAAAAGAAAAAAGAATTGCAAATTCATAAAAAAACTAAAAAAAAATAAAATGAAAAGGGTTATAAAGAAATGTAAATGTTAGAAAGGAAATCAAAATTGGATATATGATATTTGTATAAGACGGTTTATTAGAAATTTTTGAGAAGTACAGTTTAAACTGTTGCAATTGATATCAATAATTCTTTTTTCTCTCTATAAGCCGCTACTATCATTTGAAGGTAAATTTTTCCTCGTTTGCCCTATTATTTGCGGAGATGATACGATACGCGAATAATCGATCTAATACAGTTGGTGATCTGCAAGATAAGTTAGTATTTTTGATAAATTATAATTTTTATAATTAATTTATTGATTTTAGCAGTTTTTCTACAGTGCAAAATGTATTGAAAAAAAGTATAACATAAGCAGTATTTAATTTGTTGATTTCTAATTCGTACATATGCTAAGAGATACGGGTCGAACGAATAAAAAATTTAAATCTGAATAAATTAAACGTGGATATAAAACAAAAATACTATGCGTCATAAAAAGAGTTATAAGAATAAATTAGAGGTGATAGGTAGGAGTAAAAGAAAAAAAAACTTTAGTCATTGTTTGCTAGAAAATTTCAGTTTAAATAAAAATCCTTCAATCATTTGTTACTTTTGCAAGAATCTTTTGAATTTCTGAAGTTTTTTTTTTTTTTTAAGTCTTATTCATTCATTAAGCATAAAGTGAAATTATTTTTAGGCTTTTAGGCTATGGGAAATTTGTTGGAAGTCGACTGCTAGATGTTATTGTGTTGCGAGAGAAAGGTTACAAGCGTGAGATTAAATTATTAAATATGCTAATGTTTGTCAAAGGAACTATCTGGAAGAATTTATTTAACAAAGAAGCTGATAAGCTAGAGCGAAGTAATGATGATCCATGCCAGTGTAAGTGTTTGCTTCGTAGTTTATTGTGACTGAGAAAAAATCAGTGATACTAAAGATAACAAAATGACAAATAATTGAAAAGCGAAAAAAAAAATCTTTTTTTCCTGCAAAATAGCAAAACTTATCTGAATGAGTTTTATTAGCATGTCAATTAATTGGATAATTTTCATTCTCAACTATGTGGTTTAACTTCTGCTAAAATTATCAATTACTTCTTAAAAATTTTAATTGAAAATCTTAATTCGACTTTTTTTAGTATACTGAGAATGTTATTGTTTAGATTTATTGATTGAAAAAGAGCCTATTGTAAACACATATATATCTGTACCGAAAGACAAGGGAAATTTAAATTGTGCATCATTTATTGCTGGCATCATTGAAGCAGTTTTGGAGGTTAGAATTTTCGCAATTTAAAATTCAGTAAAACCATTTTGTATTTTGTACACTATGATATTGTTTTTTTCTATTCCAAGGGCGAAATATGATTTAATCATTTTTTAGGCAAGTAATTTTCCATGTAAAGTTAGTGCACATTGGCATGATGGTACCACTTATATCATTCAATTTGATAGGCTTGTTATTGCACGAGAAAATTCACTTTTGGAATTGACGCGTTAATGTTTTGATACATTTTATTGCAAAATGAGCGTTTTTTGTCAATATTCTATTTGTATAGGGAAATTAAACGACGATATCTATTGAAGTTATTAAATCTTTGTTTGACTTTTTTTCAGGTAAAAATTTTGGCTTGTAAAACAATATGAAAGTTAAACATGTTTGCTTTTTTGTTTAATTGTTTGATTTTAATGTCTGTTTTATCACTTTACACTTCCTCGGTATTTGTTTGATACATAGTCATTTGAATATTATTGTAAGTTATTTTTGATTCATTGTATTAGATAAAAACATAAATGATACTTTGAAATGTATACTTATATTGGATTTCCCAGAGTTGTTTCCAATTTTAAGATTAAACTGTTTGCTATTTGAATTATGTTTGCTAGTAAACATAACACTCCTCATTGCTCCACGTTGATAGTTCTAGAAATGCAGTACTTAAATTTGGTCTATTCCATTCAATATGTAACTGAAGTGGGGTAATTTTATTTTTTTATTTCTTAATTTTCTTTTTTTGTTTCATAATTTTCTTACTTTTTGTTTTAGAGGAATGTCAGTTCGATGTGGTTTATCATTTTTTCATAAAACTTGGCCAATTACTACTACACGATGGTATACAGTAGAAGTAAATTCACCAGAACAACCGTCAACATCAAAGAGAAATGCTTCATTTAGTTTGAAAAAGATTGATTTGGTACCGGAACGATTACATCGTCATTTGTTTGGTAATTATCCAATTCCTGAAAACACCTTAAAAGATGATCCATTTGAAATGCTTGATTTACCACACCTGGAAGGTTCAAATTTGTTAGATCATTTTCAAAAGACTGCTATGAAGCAGTTTGAACCATATCATCGCCTTCTCATTGAAGCAACTACTATTCGAAGGTTACCTGTTATGCCAAAGGAATGGAATTTTCATCCTGGTTGGACAAGATATGAAATAAACAAATCACCAAAACAGGTATGATTTTATCATTCATAAATGAAAGGAAAAAAAATAGGTATGATAGGAAATTGAAGATTAATATTATTTAAAAGTAGTAATAACCAATAAACAGAAATGTAGGGTTGGATTTTTTCTCACTTTTTCAATTTTTAGTTCTTATTATATTTATCCTATGAAAATATTATTACAGAGCTATACAAAAAATTTATCTTTCTTTTCTTTAATTAATAACTTTAATTACATAATTTACATAACTTTAATTAATATTGGTAGCGCTTATTCTTTCATATGAAAATATAAAATAAAAAGGTGATGTAAACAATTCTAACATTATTAAATATGTATGTATGATTCGAGTAATAGATAAGCGTTATGTTCTTGGAGGTTTTAAAGTTTTAATGGTTCATTAGCTATGGAATATGAAATGAAATTATATTCATTTTCGAATGTAAAATTTACTTTTTCCAATGAAACTTTTTATTAATGTATCAATGAAACTCTATCATATCTATTTATCTGCTTATATGGGAAAGAAAAAAAAAACGGCTTCTTTTTTTAGGTTGATAAGCCACTTGAAGATTTGATATTTTTTGATGTCGAGGTATGCGTTCGTGATGGATTACTACCAACTCTTGCTACTGCTGTAACACCAAAAGCATGGTATGATTTAATCAAGCATTATAATATGATTGAAATTTATATATTAGATTTTAGAAGAAAAACCATTCTAAATAACAATTTTTTTTTTTTTTTTTTGAGAAGGTTTCAAAAAAATTGCAAAAATATTAAACTTGAAGATTTTTATTAGAAATGTTTGTTTCTTAGGTATTCATGGTGTAGTGATCGTTTGGTAAATGGTGGAGACATACCTGAGCTTTACCGTTTGAATCATTTAATTGCATTTGAAGCAAATGAAAAAAACTTAAAACATCGTTTAATTATTGGACATAATGTAGCTTTTGATCGCTCAAGAGTTCGAGAGCAGTATTATAGAAAGGTAAATCTTATTTTAATATAAAATGTCTTACTTTAAATATGATTAATTGGAAAGATGATTATTGTTGTTTCTCGAAGTATTTAACAAACTTTAAATTAATTTTCTTTTTTTATTCTTTTAGAAAATAAGAAACTAAATATTATTTAGGGGACGAATACACGATTCTGGGATACAATGTCAATGGCAATACCTATATATGGAATGGCAGATCATCAAGTAGCCCTGTATGAGAAGAAAGATACGGAAGTAGATGATTCCGGAGTAAGCATTTTTGCAATATTCCCTTATTTTTTGAAATTTATTTTCAATTCTTTTTCTTTGTTAGTTTTCTAGAATTCATTTTTTGCCCAGTCTTTTGCTTTAATTCATTCATTTCATATGTAATTTGTCAAATTTTTATATGATCATATAGAGCTAGATTAGTTTATCTAAAATTACCTATTTTTTTTTCTCATTGATGATTGAAAATTGGAAAGTAATGATGATAAATGGAAGTAAAGTTTAATAATTATTTGAGTTAATTTTTATATTATTCACCAAGGTGTTATAATTCATGTGCTTGTAAACGAAAATAACGGCTCTTAAAATATAGTTTAATATTAATTTTTATTTTAAAATAAAATCTTATGTAAAAAAATTTTCAAAAATTTGTTTTAATGCGAATATGCATGTTGCATGAACTGCATGTTTGCATTATATCATTAGCAGTTTGATATCTCACATATATCAGCTATAAATACTTTGAAAATTAAAGTTGACTATTTGAAAAATTTACATTTAGCCAATTGGTTGGATTGATTATTGGCGATCGCTTGTGTGTAAAAATTCATTAAGTGCATTGCACGAAAAATTATGTGGTACTACTAATTCGTTGAAGCCATTGAACAAATCACTACAAACATTTTTCGTGAAAGAACCTATTGACGAAATACGTCGGTCATTTCAGGTTAGTTAAGTATATTACTAAGCAGAAATCATCAGGCTTATCAAAATTTATCAATTTCCCTTTTAATTTTTTGATTGATTACTATTCACATTGAATGGATAACTGATTTAAGCAGTCTTAAAAGATCATGATTTACAACAGTAAATTTATCAATTAATTAAGACTACTACTGATTATACTGAACGGAATATATATATTTCTTGTATAATTGAATTTATTACTGAGATAATGGGATATTGAATTTATTCTCTTCAATTTTTCAATCTTCAGTTCTCTTTTTTCTTCTTTTCAGGATCTTACAACATATTGTGCTTATGATGTTGTAGCTTGTTTTGAATTGTACCAAGTTTTATATCCTGAATTTACAAAAAGGTCCTAGTTTCAAAATTATTTTACTGATTGCAAAATTATTTTACTGATTATTTTACTGACTGATTGCATCTTTTCTTTAGCAATTACACTTTTTCTTAAATTGTTCTTTTGATCGCTAATTTTTAGATTTCCTCATCCAGTAACATGGCAAGGAATGCTTGAAATTGGCAATGTTTATTTACCGGTTACAAAGAATTGGCGGAAATTTTTCGACAATAATGAAACTCGTGCGAATAATGAGAATAAGATTGCTGCAATTGGAGTAGTATATGCAGCACGTGAATTGGTGGAAAAATTGGAAGAGCCGATTCAATCGTAAAATGTTTAAAACTTTATTCATCTGAAACAAATTTCAGAAATATTATAAGCCTTACATTAGCAAAGAAGTGGAAAAAAAAGGAGAATTTTGATTTTTTTTTTTTCCATACTTAACTTTGATGTTGCTTTTAGATACAAAAATGATCCATGGATGTGGTCGGTGGATTGGAGCAGTCGGAAAGGAGAAGAGTTTCCCATGTATGTGGTACTTCTTACGATATTGCAATCTAATTCTGATCTAGTTAAATTATATTAATTTAGAAGTTTAAAATATCAATTATATCAAATGTAGTTTAGTTTAAAATAGTAAAACGAATGTAATGCTACATATTTTGTGTAATTTGATATTAATTTTATATTGGTTAATATCTTAGTTAATATTTATATTAGTTTATATGACTCTATTTAAAATAAATTAGTGTTAAATTTGATATTAATTTTGTTTTAGATGGTATGAATCATTGCTACGTACTAGGAGCCTTCTTCATATGCCAGTTGAAGAGTTATCTCAGGCAGATGTGAAATTGAAAAGCCGTGTTGTACCACGATTATTCGGACTTTGTTGGGGACCATATCCATTACACTACAAAACTGATAAGGGTTGGGGATTTTTGGTTCCAAAAGGTAATTTTTTTCTTCTTATGTAGATATTAAAATTCACCAGATTTTTTTTTTCTTAATTTTTTTTACAGATCGTCGTATTGCTTTATCTGATGTGCCAGAAATGGACGAAGTTGTATTAAGACGAGGTGTAAAAGCCACGATTCCTGTGAAGTAAATTTTTTTTATTTTTAATAACCATCATATTACTTTAATTTACTATTATATTTGATTAAAGATTTTACTGTGTAGAAGATTGTTTTTTTTTCTAGAGCAATCCTTAGCCTAATACAACAAAATATAGCAGAAGGTATTGGAGATGTTCTGTTGACGCATTCGCATTCATCATCAACAACAATTAGTATCTTCAATTTTCACAAATTGCCACATCCTGTATTATTTTTTTTCTTTGGAATATTTTCCTGTAGAATAATCTCTTCAATGAAATTTCATCAAGTAGAAAGGAAAAACTTGTTGTTGATTTCTTTTTAGTAACATTTATATTCAGGATTAAGAATAGAACAGTACATTGTTTGGTGAGAATCATTTTTAGGCTAAGTTTCTCGAACTTATTTCCCATTTCTGTTTGTATTTTCATCAAAACAATATCATGCTAACTTATATGAATTGCTTTTTCTATTATATAAAGATGGAACGTAGAATCTTACTAGTTAGGTAATTTCTTTAGTAATTCTCTCTGTAATTACTTGATAAAGGTTGAGTATTAAATAAAATAATCATTATGTAAAGATGAAATGTAGAATCTTACTAGTTAAATAATTTCTATAGTGCTATTTTGGGAATAGAATTTTGATGTTTTAGAATGGTGAACATGATAATGTTGGTGATCCAATTTCAAAAGCATTCCAACTGGAAATTGATGAAGGTGTTTTATGGCCTGTGCGGTACAAGAAGGAGTTTTCAGATTTATATCGTGCAAGAAATACCACACGATTTTGGAACAATTATAGGTTTTTCTTCTTTTTTTCTAAATTAAAAAAGATTTATTTCTACTTTTTTTTTTTACTAATTTCTATTTTCTATCAATTAATTTTCTCTTTTCTCTAGTCAATTTATTGTTGATTTTTATTCTTATAAACAATATCATGATTACAATATATTGGTTATATGAGACGATCAGACGACTCATTCAATTAGTTTGAGATGATTACTAAGATTTCATTATAGTTAATCTAGCCAATCATTTTTCTTATTTCATGTTTTGCTTACTCTCTTCTCTTCATTTTTCATTTTCAAAAATTTGCTGAACATAAAAATGTCATGCAGAGATCGGTTTCAAGAGCAAGTAACAATTTGGCTGGATGAAAATGGTGATGAAGGAGCTATTGCGCCATCAATTATTCCAGCTGGTACAGTAACAAGACGAGCTGTTCATAAACTTTGGTTGACAGCTATCAATCCAAAAGTATTCATGTTAAAATATTCATTTTTTTCCATTACTTTTCTTAAAAAGTTTCTGGCTAGTAAAATTTAATTAATTAATATTAGTGACTCAAATAATAGTTTGTTTTTTTTTCTGCATTTTATTTTCAGATTATATTCCACTTTTTTTTTTTTTTTTTTGATGTTTATTCTTTTTATATTTTAAATTTCTACAGGATGATCAAATGATAGGTACCAATTTGAAGTCAATGGTAGAATGTCCTGAAGATTGGCATATAGTTGGTGCAGATGTTGATTCACAGGAACAATGGATAGCAGCAATGTTAGGTGATTGTTGTGTTGGAAAAGGTACAGCTGGTGTAACTCCTTTTAGCAATATGCTTTTAGCAGGATCTAAATCTGATAACAGTGATTTGCATAGTGTTATTGCGAAGGAAGTTGGTATTAGCAGAGATAAAGCAAAGGTTTGTTAATTAATAAATGAAATTCTTTTACTTTTTTCTTTTCTTTTCTTTTATTGATAACTTTATTTAAAGTAAACGTATTATCATTATCTATAATTCTTTAAACGATTTTATCAGCATTATTAGTGCTTATTATATTATGTACATTTTATTATAAGTTGCATTAGTTGATTTAATTAATTGATTGATTTTCATTTATTTTATATTATTGAATATCATTCACTGAAAATAATATTTATTGAAGGTATTGAATTATGCACGACTTTATGGTTCTGGAATAGTACATGCAGCTGAATTTCTCATTCAATCAGGAATGAATGCTACGAAAGCATTAAATGTAAGCAACAAATTATTCGCTACAACCAAAGGCAAACGATTCAAGTAATATCTTTATTCTTTTTTGTTGTTATCTTTCTTTTCGAACTAATCTGTTGAGCGGAAAATAATACTTTAAGATAGTATTTATAGATTAGAAATATAAATTATTTAATGAAATTAGGAAATCATATTATATGGATTGAGATGTAGCATTATTTGTATCATTTATAATAATATGTAGTTCTTTCATAATAGTTCTTGCTTCGTTTATTTTTTGCTTTTGAATTATGTATTTATCTCGAAATTAAAATTATTTACAGCTAATATTCTAGATAAAATGATTAGCGTGATGAAAATAAAACAAATATTCAGTTTCTTTTTTTTTCGTTTTGTGAAATTAGTAATAAAATCTTTTTTTTTTTTTTTTTCAGTTTTTTGAAATTAAATGAAAGTTACAATGATTATTTTCGTTGGTACATCGATAATATATGCCCTTCAAAGATGAAAGCAGATTATGTGTATGCAAATGGTACTTATTTCTTACCGGAATATCGCATTCGACAGGGGTATGTAAAATTTATATGGTTGTAATTGACGATTTTGCAAAATTTCTATTAAGTGTAGCAGTTAATGCAAAAATTGAGAATTTATTTTCAAAATAAAAAGAAAAAAAATGAATAGAATAATTTAATGTAAAAAAAAAAAAAAGTTAATATTGAAAATTTCTGAAGGAAACTGACGCTAAACTTTGAAGACTGGCTTTATGAAAGTGTATGGAATAAACTGCGTGAAAATGGACAGGATGAAGTCAATTTCAGCAAAGATTGGTTAATTAGTCAAATTTATGATGGTTGCAATGAGTATCAGCTGTACACTGGAGGCTTGTAAGTGGAAAAATTTATTTTATTTAATTCATTTTTGAAATTATCAGAGTAAAATGAGTGGTTTGCTTTAAAAAAAAAAAAAAAAAAAAAAGGATTATTTACAAGATGAAATGAATCATCCAGAAGATGGTAAGAAAACATTTGAATTTTTGCAGTGAATCTGATACGTTCAATTATTTGGAGCTAACATTGAATAATCCAAATCCGCGTACTCCAGTATTAGACTGTCAACTTGGTTACTGCTTGACACCGTTACCGAAGGATGTCAAAGATCATGAATATTTCTTAAAGAAATATCGACGTTCAATCATAAATTGGGTATTCGATAGATCATATTATTATTAATTAATGAGAGATTATTAATTTAATTATTTATTTGAGTAGTTCAGTGATTTGAAGGTTAACGTAGAGAAATTTTTTTTGAGATAGCTATCATCATTATAATATTATTGTTTGTAATCTTTCTTTAAAATTTGTCCACAGAAATAAACATATAAAAAACTAATTTTTACGAAATATTTTGAAATAAAAAAGAGAGGAGATTTAAAATAAAATAGAAGTGAAAGAAATTTTCAAAAATAGTTTATGAAATTGTAAACATAAATTTTGTTCAGAATTCTATATTTGATGATCAAATATCTGATTGATTAATAATTTATACTTATAACATTACGTGACAAATTTTATAATATCTCTAGTTTTGGATGATGCAATATGTATTTACATTTTAATTATCCTTTTAGGTGGTACAATCAAGTGCTGTTGATTTTTTACATCTACTTATTGTATGTATGAAATGGCTTTGTGAAATTTATAGTATTAAGGCTCGATTTGCTCTTTCCATTCATGATGAGGTAGATTCATTTCATTCCTGAAAATTAATTTATACTAAATTGAATAGCAGAGAATTTTGAAATATCTATGGTGTTTTTTTCTTATCTCGATAAGATATTTGAAATTTTCATGATTATATTTCCTCTTTTTTTTTTTTTTTCTTTTTGACATTGATTTGGATAAAGTAATTTTATTTTCAGATTAGATATATTGTCCCAGCAGAGGATCGTTATCGATGTGCACTAGCGTTATCATTAAGTAATATGTATGTGCGTGCTATGATTTCTCAAAAATTGGGCATCAAGGAACTACCGATGGTTTGTTGATTTTTTTTTTTTTTTTGAATATTTTTTTTTCTAAATTTGTTAGTAATATTTGCTTTTTGTTGTGAATAGCGAATATTGAAAATTTTGTATTGTTTTGTTTTTTTATAATTTTTCAAGTTATTTAGTGTTAAATTTACAATAAAACTAAACTGTTTTACTTTATGAGAAAATCATATTTAATTTTAACACTTATTTTATAAATTTCAGTCGGTTGCATTCTTCAGCCAAGTTGATATCGATCGTGTACTTCGAAAAGAGGTTAATTTAGTGTGCACAACGCCAAGCGGTGAATGCATTCCACCAGGTTGATTTTGATTCTATTTTTTGCATGTTTGAATGAAATTCAAATTTTGAGGTCAAAATTGAATAGTGATGTTTGAACTATTATTTGTAGATTAAATGAATGAATTTTGTTAAGGTGAAGCATTGGATATGAATGCTATTTTGGTGAAAACTGGTGGTACGTTGAAAAAAGTTGCAAATGCATCCTTTACCGCCAATGCGGCAGTTCAACAACAAATAGTATTAGGGAAAATAGTGAAATCTGATAAGAATCGAAACAAAAAGAGATTATCCTAAATTTTAAGACTATATTTGATTCCCAGTTATTATATTGTTGTTAATTAATTGATGTAACATCATATTAAATATTTTCGTTGTTGAATTTAACTTGTAAATGAATAAATGTTAAAAATTAAAAGTATCATTCATTACAAATGATATGAGATTATCAAAAATATTTAATGATCAGTTATATCCATTTAACATTAATACCCGTATAAAGAATACAGCAATCGTGAAAATTAAACGATCATCATTATAATATTATTAAAACATTTTGATAAATTAGTATTACAATTTCAAAATAATACATTTTAAAGAAATAAAAAAACAAATAATCAATGCATATATGCTTTAAATAATTTCATTTTATAGCAATTACTTTTTATACAATATGATACATTCAAATAAGTGAAAAAAAAAAGAGTGAGAGAGAGAGAGAGAGACTGTTCAAATAGATAAATTGTCTTTAAATATTGATCTTGTTGTTTCAGTCGTTTGTATTGTATAAATTGGTGGTAATGTTTGCGCTCTCGAATTTTGTTTTTGCATTTCTAAAATTTAACATTTATAAAGAAAAAAAAAATCTCAAAGAAAAAAACGAGAAAATTTGCTTTAATTTCATGAGTTCATTAAAGTTTTATTCCTATCATTCCTATTTTTATATATAGATTGTTTCCTCTTTATTTGCACTTTTTCATTTCATATCAATTTTGAAAAAAAAAAAAAAAAGTTATTCATCAGTTCAATCTCAACTTGTAATTAATTATTATAATTTTATTTTAGCTTATTCTTTAAAATTAACACTTCCTAATCATAAATTGAATTTGAATAGAATTTTTGATTAAAAATTTTAAAAATCAGTCCTTTAGTTTTTTTTTTTCTTTTAAATATTTCTTCTCATTATGCTGAAATATAATTTTCTGTTGTCTTATTTTTTACATCCATTACAAAATGATAAGAAACTTTTCAATAATTTTTTTTTTTTTTTTTAAGGGAAAATTATTGGTTGCATTATTCATAAGCTATAAGTGAACTAAATTCTTGCTTATATTGTTGTATTATTTTAATTTTTTATAATTTATTCTAAATGATACAATTATAGTCTTATTAAGTATATTTTATATGATCTTCTATTAACTTTTTTTTATTTTCTTTTACTTTAAATATTTCTTTGTAAGTTTTTCAACGATTAATCATAATGATGTTTTCTAATTTTTCCTCAAAAAAAAAAAAAAAAGGGAAAAAAAATTACATTTAATTTATCGTTTAAATATTTCATGAATTAATTTAACATAAATTTTTCATCTATATTATACAATAATAAAATTTATGCTAGCTTATTAATTTAGTTAGCATTTTTTATAAAATTCTAACTTGGAGGAAGTGTTTACTTATAAGTAATGAAAAAGAAAGAAATGCACAATTAAAGTTTAAAAAAAAATAGAAACTAACCATCTTTTTGCTCTTCGATCATTTTAAGCGCTTCATTATAGGTAGGTAATTGTGAATTTGTTGGAACAATTGGTAATGGTGATGTTAAAGCGCAAGTGGAATATTTTGGCGGTGATTGTATTCGGTCTTCTTCCTCATTTTCCACTTCCACTTTAAAATTCATCAATAATCTGAATAAGCTGAAATAATTGGAAGCATTTTTATTCTTATCACATCTTTTTTAATTTTTTAAATTCCTTTTTATAAAACAATGAGAAAAAAAAAACTTATATATTTTTCAAATTAAATTAAAAGAAATACAATTATGGATGAAACTATTTTTAAATTAGATTAAAAATAATGCGTAATAAATTTGGAGCAAATTGAGATATATAACAGGATGAAATGATTTGTAACTGATATATTTACATATTCCAAAAATTTGATTTAATTTTTTTAAAGCTTTAAGGAAAACGATTGTTTTTCTTAAATTTTTTAGAGTATTTATATAAAATATTTGATGAATAGCACATGTAAATGAGCGAAATTTTTTTGATTAATCTATCTTTTTAATCAAAAATTGAAAATATTTATAAACTAATTTACCTAATTTCGATTGTTGTACATATAAGTGCCACAATAAGCCATATATTTTCCGGTGTAACATAGCATTGTTCCATTACCAAACCATCAATTAATTTGCATATTAAAAATGACAAATATGTCGCACATAAAATCTGTCGCAAAAAAAATTTCAGTTAACATTTTATTTTGTTTTTTTTTTTTTTTTGCATTTCTTATTAATATTCATCTATTTTCCGGTGTAAACATTGTTTCATTACCATTATTTATATTATTATTATCATTATCATTATCAGATTGGATTAATAATTTTTAGCAATTTAGAAAAAAAGAAGGAGAAAAATTTGATGATTCAGAAAAAGGATAAAAAAAGCTACAATAAGAGAAAATGTTTTCCTTCTTTTCTTTTATTTTTTTTTTTTTGAATACGAAAGAGAAAAAATATATATTTTTTTTTAATTTTTTTGTTTCTTAAATATAAAAAGAAAAAAAACTTTTTTTTTTTTGAAAAGTGTATCATTTGAAAAGTTTAATTTTATTTTAAATTTTTGAAATATGTATATTATCATTGACTGATGTGAATGGATTTAAACAGATGTGACTACTAACTTTATAAATGACACAAACATATCATTTGTGTATCATTTTTAAACTTTAATTTTAATTTAAAATTTTTTTAAAATTTGTATATTATTATTATTATTATTATTTAATAAAACAAAAATGGATATAAATTGATGTGACTAACTTTATAAATGATACAAACACATCATTTATCATTTTTAAATTTTAATTTTAATTGGAAATTTTTTAAAATATTTATATAAGCAACATTTGATATAATACAAAAGTGGAAATAAACTGATGTGACTAACCTTATAAATGACACAAACGATGACAAGTTGTGGTATATGAACAGCAAAAGCAATACCAGCCAAAATTGTAAATGCTAAATTAATCAGTGCAACGATCAGTAATGATTGATTATTGTTGTAAATGATAAGAAGTGAAGAGCAAAGTGCAATATTCATCACACATAATGTAAGTATTCCAAAACTTTTCTGCAAAAAAAATGAAAAAAAGTGGAAAAAGAAAAAGTACAATTTGTTTAAAAATAAAATTAATTAAATTTCACATAAATTTAAAAAAAAAAAATGCTGAAATAAAGCATGGAAAGTAATAAGCAAAATGTTCGTTTTTGTCTTTTCAAAAGAAAATTTTTTTTCCTAATGTTAAAATTTAATCAATTTTTTAATTTTGTTTTTTTTTCCCCTCTTTTATATTAAATTTATAAAATTTATATTAAATTAGTAAAATAATAAATGAACAATATATTAGAACAATTTTTTTTTTTTTTTTTAAAAAAATAGAAAGTTGAAAAGATAGTAGATATGAAGAAATGAGTTTTTTTGCGATCAAAAAAAAATTTTTTTTTAATTATTCAGTTTTTTTTTCTTCATTTTAGAACTATCAATCAAAATACAGTCGTTTTTTTTTTTCTTTTTCTTTTTTTTTTTTTTTTTTTTGTAAATTCTGGAAATGATTAGCATTTGAAATTTATATCTCTACCTTTGACCTTCTTAAAAAATTAGCATATGTAAGCGAATTATTACCAATTTGAATTCATTTTACATAAGTTCAAAAAAAACCAATAATTATGAATGAATAATTAGTAACTTTTACTATTCCAATCTTCTAAAAATTATTTTTTTATTTAAATAATTTTATCCTATCAATTAATTTCATTAAATTTTTTTTTTTTGCGCAAGAAAAATTTTAATTTTATACAAATTTCATTGTTATAAATGAAAATTATACATTATGTATTTTATTGAAAACAGAAAAATGCTAATATTTATAAACTGCTGAGAAAAAAAATTTAATAGATAAATGAATACTTTTTATATGCATATTAAATTTCTTTTTTTATAAGTATTTAAAAACTTTCATTTAATTTTAAATTTTTTAGTTTTTTTTTTCAGAAAAAGAATTTTTTATGATTTTAAAAAATTTTAATTCTTATGTTTGATTTCTTTTTTTTTGTCATCACTTTCATTTGCTTAAAATTTACCTTTTTTTGGGCAGCAGAATATTGTTCTACATTTGGATTATTTTGATTGTTATAACTTGAACAATCACTTTCATTAGCTGTTTGTTCTCGTGATGACAACGGACCACAATTTCCCTCCATGTTTATTATCTGAAATTTTAAAAGAACTAATTAGGTAATTAATTATCTCATTATTTTATTATTATTATTAATATTATAATTATTGCTAACTATTACTGCTGAAAAACTGATTGCTTTCAAAAATAATAATAATTAAAATAAAATTATGGAAAAAGAAAAACTATTTAATATGAAATATAATCGATCGTAAATAATATTACTAATATTACTAATGCTGAAGAACTTATTACTTTCAAAAATAATAATGTTAATTAAAATGAAATTGTGAGGGAAAATTGTTTAAGGTGAAATGTAATTCATCGTAAGTAAAGTAAAGTAAAGTAAGGTAAGTTACAAGTACTAACATAAGTGTTGTAGTAATATTCTATTAAATAACAGATTAATATAATCATTTAATATATTAAAATATGCATTCTAATAGATATAACCATGATTATGAGATTTACAAAAAAAAATAATTAATTATCTTTCCATAAGAAATGTTAAATTATCAATTTAATTTGCATATTTTAATTCGAATTTGGTTAAAATTTAAAAATTTTATTAAATTTAATGTTATGCGCGCTATTATATAAAAATTTCAAATTAATAATGGAAGTTGTAGTAGTGACCGAATTTAAACTGTCAATTTATATTAGATAAAATCAGATTAAAATGCAATAATGCAGTAATATTTTTTTTTTTTGAAGTGAAAAAAAATGAGATTAAATTGCAATTCGTTGAGATTAAACTACAATTCGAGAAAATTAGCTCAAATTTTGATGATTTTTGTATTTCAAAAATTAGCATATCATTAACAGTATCAGAAATAAGAGAAAAAAAATGAAAATTAAAATTTCATCTATTTTAATTAAAAAAAATTGTAAACAATCAAATAGAAATTTCCTCCAATCAAAGTGTTTTCTTTTTTTTTTTTTTTTTTGTTCACAAAAGGATAAATTTTATTTAAATAAAAAATTTAGCAAAAAAATTTTTATTACTTGGATTGAATTTGAAAAATGCCTGATAATAAGAAATATAATGTAATATCAATGATGAAACTGCTAATCAATGTTCTTTATCAATATCGCTGGAATGAAATTCTTATCACTAGAATATTCCGTTAGTTATCAAAAAAAGGAAAGGAAAAAAAAAAAAGGAAGGAAGATAAGAAGGAAGAAATTGAAAAATTTTAATCATTGTAAAAATTTTTTATCAATTCATAAATGATAAGAGATGAATAAGTTATTTTGAAAAGAAATCATATAAATATTGATAATAAAATCTTTGATCGATTTATAAATTATAAATGTATGAAAGGTATATTTTTAAGGTCGATTATTTGACAAATGAATAAAATAAATTAAACATTTGAATCGAAAGACATTTCATATCAAAGAAAGCACATTAAGCTTTTGTTTCTCGTTTTTTTTTTTTGATAATTTTACAAATTTAAATGACGAATTTGTTAAATTTTTGATAGATTCCTTATTTGTACAAATAATAAGTGAAAATCAATAAAAAAGGAAAACATTTGTTTTTTGATAGATTCCTTATTTATACAAATGAAAATCAATAAAAAAGGGAAACATTTGTTGTGGTAAATTTCGATTTTTTTTTTTTTTTTCTTTTCGGCAATAAAATATGTGAAATAAAACAAATTTAAAAGTAAACATTATTGATTGATTAACTGATTGATTAATTGATTGATTTATTCAATCATTCAATCATTGATTAAATGGTCAATTGATTAATTGATTTGTAAATTGTTGTATGAAATATATATATATATATATATATGATTTTATTATTTTCTGCTATCTTATAAAAATTACAAAAAAAAAAAATTTTTTTTTAAATATTTTTTTTCTACCATTTATATACTTTATAAATTGTATTTATAAAAAAGAATAATAGTAGTAATTAAAGTAGAAAAAGAAATGAAAGTACCAAATAATAAATGGGATCCAGTGTTGACACTGTTTGCAATGGAATACTTTTTAACGAATGTTCTCGAAATGAATGGAATTGAATTTGTAATCTCGAAGTGTTTCCTGTAAATAAGTATAATATTATAATTTTGCGTTTTTGTTTTTAAATTTCTTATCGAATTTATACGAAAGTTAAAGATGATGCCTTTATTCATTTTTTATTTTACTCTTCTTATTTACAATTAACCTCTCTCTCTTCCTCTCTCTCTCTCGCTCTCTCTGATAATTTATCTACTAAGTAAGAAGTGCAAAAAAAAAGAGAATATTCTAAAAAAATTTACTTAGTCTTAATTTTGAAAAAAACAAGGAAATAAAAACAGCAATAACAATAACGATAGCAACAGCAGCAACAATAACAGCAATTGCAACAACAATGACAACAATTGCAACAACAACAACAAAAACAGCAGCAACAATAATAACAATAGCAAAAAAAAAGAATATATACATTTGTTATTTTTTTCATTTCATTTTTATTTTAATTAATTGATTAATTAATAAAAGAACGTAAATAATATTTGCAATAATTTATTTCTGCGAAAAGAAATAAATAACTTTTTCTAAAAAAATACTCTAATATTGCTAATGAAACTAATGAAATGATTCACAAAAATACCAAATAGTAAAAAAAATATAATCAATAAATTTCATTGTAAAAGAAAAAAAAAAATTCTTTTTTTCACTTTCTTTAAACAATAATTTATTTGTGTTAGTGAAAACGAAAAATTGTAAAACATTTTCATCAATGTAATAAATTCTAGTAATATTTATAAAAAAAAGTTTTTTTTTTTGATTTCATTTATTTTACTACGAATAAATTTATTTTTATTATTATCAAAACAAACAAAAAAAAAAAAAAAAAAAATTACCATTTGCTTATTTATTTATTTATTTACTTTTTTGTATTTGTTCGTTTTTTTTTTTTTAAAAAAATAATTGAAATTTGGCCTTATTTATAAAAAATACTTGAAAAAAGTAATTTATATTTTTTTTTAAAAAAAAAAATTTAAACTAAACTTAATTATATTATTTCTATCGTATGGCAAAGAAATTATCGATTATATACTAACAATAAAATATCGTCACTTTATTTACTTTAAATTGGACTATTATATAAATAAAATAAAATAATTATTTTTAATAACATCCGAATATTTTCTTTTTATGAATAAAAAATGAGCAAAAAAAAAGAAATTAGCAAAAATTTTTATAATAAAATATTATTTATGAAATTAAATTTTATTAAAAAATAATAAAATTATTTTTAAAAAAGGAAAGTTTTTTGATATATATATTAAAAAAAAAAGTTGAAAAAAATTAAAACATATATTGATTCTTCACAAATATTGCCAATAAAATTTTTTATTCCTTTTTTTTTTCTCAATTTTAATTTTTATTATTGATGAATTTATATCTATCGAAAAACAAAAACAAATTTGACTACTTTATGAATTAATAAAATAATAATATTTATTTATTTTAATAAATATAAAATAATTTTTTTTTTATTATCATTATTATCAATTTATGAAGTAAATTTTTAAGAGAGAGAGAGAGAGAGAAAAAAAAGAGAGGAAGAAAGAGATATGAATGCATGAAATGGAAGAAAATGAAATAGCAAAAACAAAATGAACATTTGATCATTTGATCAGTTATATATAAAATGCACTGATCACATCATCGATTATATTTTGATAGAAAAGTTAGATAAATATAATTTATTGTATAAATAAACAAGGTTGACAGGTTTTGTCACTTATTTTTCTTTTGTTTTTTTTTTCGATTTTAAAAGTATTTTTTTTTATCAAAAATGAATGATAAGAGATAATATATTATCTATGCTTCTATTCTTTGATAATAAAATAAGTCAAAAACAGAAAAAGAAAAATTATTAAATCATTAAATTGAAAAAATGAATTTATTATAGAAAAATCATTAATAAATTTGAAAATTAATTTTATAGAAATAAATGAAATATTTTCGGAAAAAAAAAATTACAAATTAATGAATTAATTAATAACTAGTGATAACAAACATTTTAAATAGTACAGAATAACATTTTTATCATTTTTATCTATTTACAATCAAATTTGAAAAAAAAATTTTTTTTGAAAGAAAAAAAAAGGTAAAGGAAGAATGAAGTAAGGCATATGATTGTAAAAAGTTTCAAAAAAATTGATGTTTTTAACAAATTTTTCAAATATTATTTTTTTTTTAAAAAAAAAAAAGAAAAAGGAAATGTATGGACGTTATTATATACATTGGTAGGAATCAGTTAATTAATTAATTGATTAATTAATTAATGGCTAGTGGTGATATTAGGTGTTGTAAAATGAAACTTATATTATCAATTATAAATCTTATCCATTGTAATTAAAAAATTGAAGAAAAATAAAATAATCATTAAATAAGTTTTTTTTTTTTCTCATTATTAATTTAATACAATAATAAAAAGAGATAAATTAATAACTTTTTATATTTATACTTAATATAATATCACATATCGTAATGATAATGAATTAAAATTAATTCAATTACAGATACTTGGTTTAAAAAATTCTTCGCTTTTTAAAATTCTTTCAAACAACATTTTGTTTTTATAAAATTATAAATTTTGAATTTGAACAGAAAATAAAAAAGAAAATGTTGAAATGATATAGTAATTAGAATCAACAGATAAATAAAAAAATAAAAATAAATAAATGAATTTTTGAAGGACAAAATTGATATACAAAATTAGGATTAATAAATTTTGTTAAAATGAAATGAAATTTATTAAATTATTCGGTAATGATTGCATTTTTATCTATTAAAGTTTATCAATTAAGTAATAATTTCGTACTTAAATTCTATTCATTTATATTAAATGAAAATTTTATTTTATTTCTATTTGCATAATTCATTCCTAAATTTATAAGTACCTTTTTTTTTAATTAAATTTATAAAAAGAATCCTTTTGATTTTGATGCAAAAATATTTGAATTTCTTGAAACCTTTATGTTTCCACCTTTTTTCTTTAAAATTCCTTAG